TGTAATTTAGCAACCTTGTCTCACTACTAGATCAATTACAATTGAGTAGTGAGTTTGATCCTCACTGAATGCTCTACAATTTCGGCCTTGTGCCACATGTAAGCTACACTTAGAAAATTATCATCACTAAAAAATAGTGTTGAGAGATCTATTTTCATGTATTTCTTCATCCAATATACACATTTCTCTGATGCTTTTTAGTTGCTTTCATTTTTTTTAATCTATGTTATTAAAATTCTCTATCTTTTCTCTCTGTTTTTAGATTTACAATACTAGATTTTTTTATTTTTTTTTTTGGCCAATCCACTTTTCTTGCTTAACCTTTTAGTTTTTTTTTAAAAAAATTTTGTGATGTCCTCAAAGACAGTTTTTGTTTTCTTGCTGTTGTCAATGTTTCCAACTTCTTTTTGATTCATCTATGATCTCTGTAAAACTTTTTCATAATTTCCAACACTATGCCCTGATCACTCAATAACCTTTTTTTTAACAATATCTTGTTTCTCCACTGAAGTTATATCTTACTTACAATCCATGACAATCTTTATATATCTGAAATTAAAAAAATAAATATACTATGAACACCACTTAGGGTGCACAACAAAATATAAACTATTAGATATTTCTAATAAAAGCAGATATCATAAACTAAAATTCACTTAGTGTCTTTATATAAGCATACTCTGAGAATTTTTATCAACATCAATTGTTTAATACCAATTTTATTGAGAAAATATTGACTTGCATAATAAAATCTGACATGTTTGTGTGTGGTAACGGTGGTAAGATTATCCATTTCCATACAGGAAACATTTGGCATTCATTGACTGAACAGTTATCTTTACTGTGTGTTGAATTTTATGAAATCATTCATGTAAAACAATATTTCAGGAAAATAAACTTCCCAAGTCCAGTTATTGATTTTTCTTGTTGTTTCCTTGCTTTTGTTTAAGGTAGTGCAGAAAGTCAACATCTTGATTATATTATTTTCCCTTCTAATTACATGTGCTATCCATTATAGTTCTTGTTGCTGTTGATATATATATATATATATATACATATATATATATATATATATATATATATATACCATGAAAAAATGCCTGAAACTTAATAAAAAAAGTTTTATTGTCAAAACCTTTGTTGTTATTAAGAGGAAAGACCAAATGATTTTTTGATTTATTAAATTATATATTATTTGATTCTTTTAGAACCTTTGAAATTTGGGTTAAAATTTTTATTTTTCTTATGTCAGTTAATGACAATAAATTAGTATGGGAAAAGCTAGCATCTTTTTGTAGTGCAAAACATTGATTTGGAAATTCTTGCCAAAATCAAATGATTGTTGGATTTTAATGAAACTTTCAGGGCTTATTCACAAATGAATTAAATTATTTTTTAAATGTTTCTTTTTTAGTAAATATTCGTAAAAATATTTTTTTTATATCTGTTAACCTCCGTTTATTTAATTTTCTGACATTTTGAGAAATTCTTTTTTGTAGTGCTTAATGTTTATATTAGTTATAAGGACAAATCCGTGGAGAATTTAAATCATGAAAATTTTTTGATCAAACAGGACCTCAGTTACAGAAAATCTGCTATGAATTTTAAATAAATTATTTTTTTTTATTTTTAAATAAATTATTTTAAATTTATAAAGTTTTAAATCTTAAAATTCTGTATTAATTTGTAGTGGTTAAGCGATATTATTATTAAATTAAGACTGTATTTACTAATCATAAAAGCTCACTGCAATTCAATGACCTCCCCCCTCCAATATTTTAAAAAGAATTTTGAATTTATTTTATGTGTATAAACATATTGACTTTTGTAAATATGGATGTTCAAATGTGAAATTATTGGAAAATAAAAGCAGTAAATATAGTAAAGTTAAAATTTATTGGTAATTTTCTAACGGTTCCTCAAGTGTCTTTGTAAGTTAGACTATAAAACCAAAGTCTCTAAAATTCAATAAAACATTAGATTGCTTAGTATGTTTTCTTAAATCTTTAAGATTACTAAAAAAAATTATATAAAAAAATGGCATTCACATTATATTTGTCGGGTAATTGCTACAGTTGTGTCCTGCTTAGAAAAAATTCCCAAACACAAGTCTAGCGAGAAACTTGTCAACACCTCATAAAAACACCCCCCTCTGTGTTAAAAAATGCTTTTCTGCGATATTTTAAACTAAAAGTAAGATTTATTTCAAATCAGATTAATTAAACTTTAAATCAGTTAATCTTCTTCAAATAAAGTTTCAGAAAAGTATATTTTATTTTTGAGAGATTTTTTTTTAATAAAGATAATTATTACTTTATGTTGACAGATTTGTCAATATGGATGAATTTAGCTTTTTTTTTACTGATAATAAAAAAAAACCTTATTCCAATCAGTTTGAAATGCAATAAAGTATTTTGCTTATCGAAAATATTAAATTTGATTTATCAGCTTGAAATTAAAACTAAAATAAAAGCTTCATGAAAGATTTTCCATTTTTAAAAATTCATTTTATACCTTAGCTATCACTTTTTTTTTTGGTGGTACCTATAAACAGAAAATATATTAAATATATATCACTCTAAATTTCAGTTACTTTCTACTTATGTATTCTATAACTGTTGACTGCTTTTTCAAGTTATTTTTATGAAAAACTTTATTTTAAAATTAATTAAGTTGATAACATCAACCTAACATTAATAATGTTTTTTTTTTTTTTTTTTTTTTTTTTTTTTTTAACTGAGTACAAGTTTCATTTAAAAGTACACCAATATCTACCTTGGGTTTTGTTTACTGCACTTAATCTGTGTCAAGTATGCAAATAGAGTGAGACTAAGTCTCTTGACATAATCTTGTAAACAAAAAAAATGTTATTTGTTTCTCTGTTAAAATTCTGGATATCTTGTTAAATATCCCTCTGGCTAAAAGAAGTATGTTTATGTTTTTGCTTGTTAAGATTTCTCTCATGATTTGAAAAAAAAAAATTTCTACAAAATATTTATGAACTTGTTAATAATTATAATTTTTGCCAAACTTGGATGAAAGAATTTTTTTTTTTTTTTTTACTTGTTTAACATTTTAATGCAAAAAAAATTGATGGCTGTTAATTTCTTTATTTACAAATCTTTGTTTAGTCTGGCACAAGGCCACTATCATTTTATAGTACTTGTTCTCAAGAAGACACCTATTTAAATACTAATCACTTTCTAGGTGGCATAACTTTGGTAATCAGGTAAGAATCTTTGTGTTAATATTAAATGCCAACAGTGGTCGTTTCTTGATGTAAATCATATTTGCAGGGAAAAGTTTTTGTCAAGACTTAATAAACATAAGATAACTGTTAGCATAGAACTTACGGTTACATCTAGCCATTTCAACTGTAAGATGAGACCTAGCTGCCAATCCAGTACTGCACTTAAATTCGTAAAGTCAAGGTACTAAAGATGTTTGATATTATTTTCACAGTACAAAAAAGGAAAATGTAAATTTAATGTAAGAAGTTTAGCTAAAAAAAAGAGAACAACTTATTTCACACAAAGCAAGACAATAAAGCCACTAAGATGCAAGGTGTTACTGACTGTGAGAATATGAGAAAAAGAAAAAACATTAATAAGAAGAGGAAACAATAAATGAACAAAAATTAAGAAGATAGAAGATAACAATTGACATTGCATTTAAATTTTTGGAAGGTCAAAGTTGATTGGAAAACAAAAGGCCAAAAGAAAGTTTCCCAAAAGAAGTTCAAGAGAAGAAACTGTTAGCATAGAATTTACGGTTACATCTAGCCATTTCAATTATAAAATGTTGAGACCTAGCTGCAAATCTAGTACTGTGCTTAAATTCATAAAGTTTAGATACCAAAGTGGTTTTATATTCTCAATTTTTTTTAATTCAGTTCAAGTTAATAAGCTTTAACATTTACTACATGACTTTTGTTACTTAGTAATTGTTTATAAACTAGTTGAGGTACGTTGTATTACTTGGGATAATTTTCATATTAAATACTAAGTTTTAATAAACTTGAAAGAATTTGAATGTTTCCATAATTGTAAAATGATTCATGAATTATGATTTTTCTTCACAGTTGTGTTAGGATATCCTTCAAGTCCTCTGTGATTTTCTCATGTTCATCTCACACCAAAAATAATTACCAAAAATATGACTTTGAAAATGAGAAATAGCCTATTCAAAAAACATTGGCTCTTACTCAAAGTGATATTTGTATTTTTAGAGTAAAATCAATAATGATTAGACTTTTAACAACTTGCAACACAAACAAGACTTAAACTGCATTGCAGATCCATGCTCAAAATTGTGAATCAATTCCGTTGAACCTTCTGGCCTTCTTTCAGTGACAGTCAATAATAATGTAAATAATCAAAATAATGTATGTAATTTTTTTTTGTTTTTTGAATGGTTCTGTCTTTAATTATCTATGTCTCTAAATTAACAAATATAGGAGTAACTAAACAAGAGTAGCTCAATAAGTTCACAGCCTGACATCATATTAACTGAATTTTATCTGAAATTTTTCTTATATAATATTCAATGTAATTAATTTTCACCTCTGAATTAAATGACTTAATGAGAAAGCAAATTATATTGTAAAATAACTGATTCTTTCATCATTAGGCTACAGACTTATTGATGTACCTGTATAAACTATAGTTTTCATTTTATTGAATATAAATATGAACATCAACATTATAGAGAAACAAAATAATAAAATTTATTTACAACTTATTTATTTATATCTTCTTGAGGTATAATATTTTAATGTGTCTACAATATGTGTGTGTCCATAAATATTTTATAGTCATTACTTGAGATTTTACAGCTGTTGTTTCCTAAGTTAAAACCTTTTTATTTTTAATTTCTCTTCCAGTATGGATATATAAAGCAAATGCTATCATGATGGTTTTCTATTGTTATCTATTTAGCGGTCCTTTTTCTTTTCTGTTTTTAGATTTTAACTTTCCTGTTCATAATATAGTTGGGCAACAATGGCGGAAGCACACTCAGCTGTTGCCTTCACATTTAGTATTACCTCAGAAGGACTTGATGTTAATGTCAACAGAGATGTCTTCAATTTGATCTTCCAAAGCGGTGTCATTGCATGGAAGAAACGATTAGGAAGACTGAAGGTAAATAACTTTTCTTTCTTTTTGATTCGCAGTCCAAAGTAAGTTATATTCTCATTGGATTTATTTATGTCATTTTTTTCTTCTCTCTCTCTATTTCTCAAGACCTGTCATAATTAAACCATTGTCTGATTTTAGATTGAATATAGAAATGATTTCATGATAAATAATATAGATTAAAAATATATATATTAGGTTCTATTTGAACCAAGTGTAAACAGTAATGCTTATATTATTAGTGTCTTTAAATTATCTTTTTCCCCAAACAAAATTAATATTATTGTTATGCACTGAACATGCTGAAATGCATTGACATTTTCTCTTAATAACATTCCATCTTTTCATAATTTTATTATACAACAATACACTAATGTGCTGATTTATAACTGAAAAGAAAACTCCTTGAAATGAAACAAAATCATTTATGCTAAGTTTACACAATTCAGGAACAATGCTACTTCATATTCATTTACAAAATATTTATGACTGATTTGACTTGTAATTTAAAAATTTAAATATATTTTATTCTTTTGATATATTTATTTATAAATCATTAGTTCTTAAAATTATCATCATATGCAAATGATAATGATTCAATTGTTCTTCAGTTTATTTGGTTATACTGTAAAAAAGTCATGTTGAAATTTTGTATTTCCTCCAGTTTGTTTTGATAAAATTTCATTTACTAACAAAATAGTACTCAGAATTGCTTTTATCCTTTTCAAAATAAAATATAGGCTTAAAATCACCAAATCTATGTAATGAAAAAAATTGAAAAAGGAAAGATTAATTTTAATAATCAAATTTTAGATAATGTTGTTATCAGAATAACATTAACAGGATTTTATTTTTATTAAGCAAAAACAGAAATAATTCTTTGTAAATTCTGCATATTTGCCAAGAGAAATAGGGAAGTAGACCAAAGTAGATGAACAATTTATAAAAAAGAAATGACAACTAATGAGTGGTTATGCGAAATAAGGGAGATAACTTCCAATTTTTGATGTTACATCGCGTCGCTTATGTCTTTTGTAATCTTAATCCTACTTTTCTATATCTGTTAACATAAAATTAAAACTAAAATGAACTATTTTTTAAAATTTACTATTAATAACATCTCCATCATAATCTTTATATTAACAGATGTTATATTTCCAATATTGAACACTTATAAATTTTAAACAAAAAGTTCTTAATAAATTCTGGTGTTTGATTAAATTTTGGAAAGTGCAGTATCTCTTCATATATGCAGGACATGAAGTGTCCAACAAGTTTTTTTTTTTTACTTGTTATCATATAAAATAACCTGTAAGCCATTAAAATAAAATTTTTTTTAGAATTGAATTCATTAAAAAGTTTTGAATTTATTTCAGATCTTGTAAAACATTAGTAGCCAATGCATTCACATTTTATTTCTAAGTTTTTGTAAACATCTCGGTTAACATGAATAGCAATTCCAACAACATTAGAGTTTGTAGGATTCTGAACAAGTTCACCCCTCTTTGTTTCTAACAGAAATTATTTCTCTTAAGTGAATATTAGAAAAAGATCTGCAGTATGATATAAAATTTTTAAAAAGATATAGGGACACAGAATTACTTTTAGGAACAATACATCCAAGAAGACTGGTATAAAAAATGTTTTGAACTTATAAAGTTTCAAAAAGAAAAGCATATCCCTATCCTACATGTTAGTTTTCATAAAAAGAAAGAGTAAATGTGACAATTTATGACCATTAATCATTATAACAATGAAAGATACTTTCCAAGTGTTTATATACTTTCAAATTCATAAAAAAATATACAAATACATTAATTTACCCTCTGTTTATCATGGATGCTTATTTTGTTTTTATTTTATTTTAGAACACATTCCGTATTGGTATCTATCCAGTAACTCCTCTTGGATTAGTGACAATCATTGTGACAGTTGCTGCTTTGAAATTTGCTGGTTGGGTTCCTCCTTTGATAAATTTTGAGCCATTCTTCCATTTTTGGTGAGTTCCAGTCTGTATAAACACATTTTCATCTATTCTCTTACATCCTTATTTATTTGAATGTCCATTGACAAAAATAACTTTATAATAGTAAATGTCTAATTTTTTTAATTTTTTTTTTTAATGTCTGTATATGTAACTTTGAAGTTGCTGAACAGGTACATTCTAACCAGAGATATTGAATTATGGTACCATTATAATTCAAAAAAAGAGAGTAAATTGCAATTAAATGATAATATTGAGGAGTTTCAATTCACACTGAACTAGACAGAGGTGGTGGGGGGGTTCAATGTTTCAAGGGAGATAACTATTAAATACTATCCCTTATTTATTTGCATGAGTAAAAAAAAAATCATGAGTAAGAAATTATCTCCCCTTTTGCACGTCATAGCCATAAACATAATTTAGAAGAGAGTAAATTCAAAGATATGCCATAATTTTCTTATGAAGTGTGATCATACAAGTTACAGGGCCGCCTAATAATTGTATACAAATTTATATAATTCTAGATATGCAGTATGGTTGTAGTCTCTTCACATGACAGAATATTCTATAATTATTATGTAGCATTGAACAGCACTAAAGTAAAACTTAATCTTTGCTCCGTTAATAATTATATATTTGTGATTGCAGCTAATTCTTTTATATTTTATTTTCTCTCTTCTTGGATGTCATACAATTTTATCAGGCTTGGAATATTTCATCCTAAAGTAAGTCAAGTTTTAGAAAGTCTTCTTTATGGAATGTTTATTTGTACCATGATGACCATCATCCTTCGTTCCACCCTGAAATTACTCTTCTATTACCAACAATGGATCTATGAAGTTCGAAGTATCATAACGTGGAAAACAAAAATGTGGCTGGTAAGAAGACAACTTCTTTCTCTGTTTTATTTCAAAATATGTTAAATGCAATTGTGAAGTTCATAGTCAGAATATTAATCCAAATAATTGGTGGAATGATGATACTTCCGCTTTTCAGAATTTTATACAATATTTCTTTCTTTTTCTTTTTTTTCATATGATATATCTGTTTAGGAATGGAATTTTATGTAAATTTTGTCAATGCACAAATTGATGTATTGCTAAGAGATAGATTTTACTCATTTTTATATATTTGTATTTCTTTTTAAACTCTGCTTCAAGGAATTCATTTAAACAATTTCAAATAACTTAACAATAAAAATTCACAATAAATTGCAAGATAATATACAAAATATACTTTAGAAGCATGAAATGAAGAATTAAATAGAATCATCAAGAAATATTTTGAAATTGACAATTTATCCATGACAAGCAGTACCTGTGGGAAATCCACAGTTATTTTGAAAATTATAAGATTTTGGGAGTTTAAAATGAACCATAAAATCATAGGTGGTAGTGAAGAGGCAGGAAAGATAAAAAAGAACATATTTGCATCTCAGTCCCACCCTTTCACTGTCGAAACGGTTAAATGTAGCTGTTTCTTCTACTCCAATAGCTTCATGTCTTGCACTTCCCATCTGTAGAATTCCCTTCCTCTTACTTGCTTTCCTCATAGCTGTAATCTTCAAATGTTCAAATGCAATGTCAACTGACATCTCCAGATGCCTTGATCTATTCCCTATTCTTCTCTTCGTCCTTTCCTCTATCACACCTCTTTACTCTTGCTCCCACTCTCTGTAACCCCTTGTGTGCTAGTGGCACTCCCGCCTTGCTTGGGATGAAATGCTTAAAAATATATATATTTGGACATCTATATTCTTTCTTATACATTGATCACCTCTATGATGTTGTGAGTCGTATAATCTAATATTTTTAATCTTTACATTAAGAAGTGAACATGAACTGTTTAAGAAAATCCTGGTTCTTGAAGAAATAAACTACTTTCTTAAAGATTGGCTTTGTTATCATTGAAAATGATCTCTTTCTCTCTCACTCTCATCTTCTATATCCTGAGTGTACATTATCAATTAGTTCTAATTCTGTTCCAGATGCAGTGAGCTCAAAAATTCAGGAGTATAGCCAACTCTTGTCTTTTTTTTCACTTCCTATTTTAATTACATCAGCACTTAGACATGAAACTATTTCTACCTCTGTAGATTAAATAAAGGGTTCAGTTTGGGATTCCCTGTATGTCACTCGGAATGATATACACTTGATGAAGGCCAGAAGGCACAATGGCTGAAACAGTGTAATAACAATAAAGATGAGGACAATAGTCTGAATGTAAAAAGTGTAAATAATGGTAACTCCTCATCCTAGAAATACAAATTAGGAAACTATTTCTCCTGTTAATTTCTACAGCACTTCTTCATTATGTATTAATGAGACATTGCTTTTTGGGAATTATTATTATTCAGAATAATTTGCATAAACATCAAGAGTTGCATTAGACAAAACCTCATTTGTTATGGGATTTTATTTTTTTTTATACTAAAGTCTGATTTGGAACTTTAGAGTTGGAATTGTAACTTTCCGCCATGAGTCTTGAACAAAGATGCTTGAAATTCTCACTGGGTTTCCCTTGCTTGCATATTTTGAACAAGTCTATATTGTTTGAAAAGAGGTTAGAGAACAGATTCTTTAAATACAAGATTTAATTATTGTAATTTTAGTACCTCGTGGTACCATTGCTAACATTTGTTAAAAACTTTCAAGTAAAATCATTTTTCCTCAGTACCACCATTGGTGTCAACGCTCAGGTATCTACCAATGGCAATGAAAGCATGCACTGAAATGATAAAAGTTTCATCAATAATGAAAAGCATTTGAATCCTGATGAAGAATGCATAATTATCTGAAGTAGGGGATATGTTACAAACACTTATTCCACTTGTAGGTATTTAGATAAACAACGTGCAGTTTTTCACCCTACAAGCAGAATGGCAATATTCCCAGTCTAGACTGTAAACGCAACAATACAGAAATTACATGATGCATTGTTTTACTCTTACAGTTACAAAGGAATATTGAAAGGTTTTACTTTAGCCACCAAGAACCTCAACATCAAAACAACTTGGTTGTGATATGTGACTAGTATTGATTCACATGACAGCATTTATACTTAGTCATTATTTCTTTCTGAACATTGGTTAATTGATTAGTATCAGACATTTACAAGTACTTACACTTCACTTATGTTTGCATTTCAAAATGGTTTAGGTAAAGCAACTCTTGAAGAACTGTTGGAAATTGAATGTAATTCATAAGATTCTCTTTTGAAAATGTTCAAAAGAGAATCTTATGAATTACATTCAATTTCCAATCTTTCTAGATCCTCTTTATGGCCATTTTTAATTATTACATTTTCATAAATTTCCCCAAATTGATGTTCATTAATTAACTGAAAAGAAAAATAAAGATTAAAAATTTTTTTTCATTCTGTACCCTCTCTCTCCCCAAAGACAAATACAAATCATTCACTTCCCCACACTTTCTCCCTCTTCATGCCCCCTTATTAAAATATCAAACTTTTCACTTTTTTCAAGTGATATGTTTCATAGAAGCAGCTGGACAAAAAAATATAAAATAATGTATATATATTTATTTCCTATTCTGAAATAATTCAATTTAACATACCAACTTATTAGAATAGGAATTAAATTATTTTATTTAAGGGTGAAATGTGAGTGGGGGGGTAGTCATTGTCTTTTTTTTCCCACTCCTTTCTCTCTTTCTTACTTTTATTTCATAGAATCAGATTGCATTCTTGACATATTTCTTTCTTCACCATAACAATGGGAGAATACATTTTTTTTACCCTGACATAGTTACAGAATGTTACATATGCAGACTGTAGCTGAATAATTACAAGGAAATTACAAAATTATTAGAATGAGGAAGAAGAAAATTTAAAGTCTTTTTTTGAAAATATCTTAATATTAACTTTTTAAATATAAAAATTTAATCCAATAAATATCCATCAAAAGTGACGAGCTAGTAATGTCACTTTTGGTAGATATTTATTGGATTAAGCCATATTTTGCTACAAAATATAATGAGAGGCATTTTAGGTTATTTCTCAAGAGAGTAAGATTAAATTTATTCTGATTTGAAAAGTATTGTTAAATTTCATGGATTATTGCAGAATCTAATGTAGTTTTTCTATAATTTTATTTTACATTAATTAGTAAATTCTTAAATGTTCTTTAATTCTAAAATAAGTCTTTTTCTCTTCTGCACAGGTTTTTATAAATGCTTTCAAATTCATTGGTCATAAACCCTTATTGACCAGTTTTCAAGGTTTGCTTCCAAAGTTATCTGTGCCTACAGTGGAAGATACAATGAGACGGGTGAATATTTTCATTTTGATACATTTAATATCTGTAATATAATTATATTGCAGTCTCAGTTAAAGCCAAATATGAAGATATTTATTTGAAATGTGTAAAATAACATTGCAGATATTTCTCTAATTTGTTCTAAATGCAATGGCTTTATTATTGCAGGATAGCAACCCAATTGGATTCTTCCTTTCTGCTGTTGATGGCATTTTATTTACTCTTATTTCAAATAGAGATTCCTTTTCAAGAAACATTACTAGTTTTTCAGAGTTCAGGAAATATCCTTTTGTAGATTAAATATACATTTGAAAACTGTTACAGAACATTTTTCCAAACAGAACAATTTACGAAATAGTATGTTGCATGAACAACTCAATGTACTTTCCTCATTTAGAAATTTAATTTGAAATATTTTTTATTATTTACTTAGGAAAATATTTTTAGTTTATTGTTTTTCTATGACAGTGAAAATATGTTTGAATTCTTTCATGGGAATTAACTTGTATAAATGTATTTAGGCAAATGTATCAAAAAAAATCTTTTACTACTCTTTATTCAACTCAGATAATTTTTATAATGTCTGTAGTTATATGTAGATAAAAGAAAGTCAATAACTTAGTGATTGATACAATAAAATTTTGAAAAATGTGGTATATCAAAAAATTTGCTAAAATATTTTTTATAGTCATAACTCACAGCTTTTCACAAAATTTCTCTTCAGTGAAGACACTCAATTTTCTTGTTAAATGGCCTATTTTGATATCTACAATATCTCAGTCATTTATCTGCCATGCATGATACATGCTTAGATGATCATGTATCTTTCAATACATGATTGACAAAGCAGATTTTTTCCTGCAGTAGGTTGCCATTTCTTTCTGCGGTAGACCGGTTGCAATCCAAAGCTATAGAACCCAGCCTGTCCTACTATTTACCCATAGCTGGGGGGAGAAGAAGAGGATTCATACATTTCCCAAGGGTATTACCACGTAAGTGAATGTAATGGATTCAACTAGAATTTGAACTCAGCTCTCCGATTCCTTAATCCAAACTGCTATCTATTACTCCACTGTGCCTCCACACTGTCTACAATATGTACCCAGTTGATTTATGACATTTTAAGAGATATAACTATACAAATTATTAGCAATGATATAAAACTATATATATAAAAATAAACAACAGGATAGATTGTTTTTAAAAAGAAAATGAATTTCAATTCCCACAATGAACTTTTGCATGTTCTATTGAATACATATTGCATGAATCATTAACTTTAATTTAACTTTTGATAGTACGGTTTTTAAAAAGTCTGATGAAACATATTTCTTTATATTTGGAGATGTGTGATTGACTACTTAGGAAACTTCATTTCTATAAAATTCCTAATCAAAAATATTTTTTACATATTAACAATTTTTTCATATTTTTCTATCTTTCTTTTAATGTGTGGTGTGCAGTACCTTTGTTCTGTTAAGCCATTGTTAAGTAAAGAAGATTATAAACGCATGGAAGGTTTGGCTTTGGAGTTTCAAAATGGGATTGCCAAGAAGCTGCAATTTAACCTAGTCCTCAAATCTTGGTGGGCAACAAATTATGTGAGTAGTGGTTTGGTTTTAGTATTATTTCTTTTCAATTATAACCTTTATTGCACTCAAATTTGAATATTAAAATAAACTTTTAGTGAAAATTGATTTATGTGTGTGCAGAATTAACAATTAAATAATAAGCTAGATAGCAAATGTTAAAAAAATCTCTAGAGTAAATTATGTATACTTACCTCATCTTGCCCATTATTATTATTATTATTAATTCTTGTCTAGTATTTAATTTCATCTTCATTTGTTGGTTGCTTTTTAGTTCAATGCTACAGCCATGAGTTGAAATTCTGGATGAAAGGATAATCTTTGGGTGAAATTCTGGATGAAAGGATAATCTTTGGGTGAAATTCTGGATGAAAGGATAATCTTTGGGTGAAATTCTGGATGAAAGGATAATCTTTGGGTGAAATTCTGGATGAAAGGATAATCTCTGGGTGAAATTCTGATAAAAGGATAATCTCTGGGTAAAATTTGGTATAAAGGATAATCTCTTGGTGAAATTATGTATAAAGGGTACTCTCCAGGTGAAATTGGTAAAAAAGGATAATTCTGGAAAATGGATAATCTGTCTATATTTCTGAGATGAGGTATTGTAATTATTTAGACTGTTTACAGTGTTCAGACTGTTGTCCTCATCTTTGTTGCCATATTCATGATGTTTCAGCCATTGTGAACTCCTGCTTTCTTCAGGTGAGTGGCGACATCAGGAAGAGGCATAGCAGATGAAACTAGAACAATCTACCCCAGTGGACGAAATAAAGGGTTCAGTTCAAAATTCCAATCACCTGAAGAAGGCCAAAGCGTACAACAGCCAAAGCATTGTAAATAAGGCAACAAAAATAAGGACAACAGTCCAAACAATGTAAATAGTGTAAATAATTACATTACCTCATCTCAGAAATATAAACAGATATTGAAGGATCAGTACAGACCTGATATATCAAAATATAGAGAAAATGAGGATAGTCTCACCAGAAGCTGGCACAAATGTAGAATCATCTAATATTCCTACACCAATGCAGAGACTTACAACTAATCATTTCAGACTTGGCACCAAGACTTCCCATCAATTCAAAGAGAGCCTGCCTAGTTGCAGAAAAAGCAGGGCATACCCTTGTACTAGAAAGAATAAAGTACAACTCTTACATAAAACAAAAACTGCAATCCAATATCCTCCAGAAGTTCAAGGTCTTCTTCAACAGAATTACCGATGAAGAAGACCAAAAGAGAATCCAGCATGATCTGGATAAATCCTTCACAAATTCAATGCAGTCAAGGCCTGCCAAGTACAAAAATTGAAAGATCAGGTGACACACAAGCTCCATCACCCACCAGTGAAGGCAGTAATCAACATCAGTCAATATCAGCTGAGTGCCTCTGAGGAGTAAGTACTGAACAAGGGCCTCAACCTCACAACAACCATCTGGCAGGTACCCTACTTGGACACCAAATTGGGGAAATAGCTTTGAACATTCCTCGAATGGAAAGTGAGACAGATATTGGAGGAAGCCAAGCTGCCCAAATCAAACATTACAAAACTGGAGATGCTGGCAATTAGTACCTTACAGAGGAATGACAATATCATCATCCTACCAGCTAACAAAGGCAATGCAACTGTAGTGGTGGACAAAACAGAATATACAGTAAAACTGGAAGACCTCATTAGAAACAGTATCTATAGTAAAGTAAAGAAAGATCCAACAATGAAAATGGAATGAAAACTGTTGAGAGATACTAATCAAGAACAAGGACAACTTCTGTCCTAAGACATACAGGCAGTTGTCACAAAGTTACAGCAAGCTACCTCACATATATGATCTTCCCAAAATTCACAAAGACGGCCAATTGTTAGCTGCCAAGAGTCAGTATGCCACCCTCTGAGTCACTTCCTTGTGGATATAATTGAGCCATTAATAGGAAAGTCACCATCTTATGTCCAAAACTCCACCCACTTCATGGAAATAATCAAATATGCTCCCATCTAATCCAACCAGATGATTCACCATGTTTCCCTTCAGTAAAAGAAATATTAGTTCAAATCTCACCAAGAAACACTTTAATTTCTGATCCTGCCTTCACTACTCAGTATCAGAGAATTGATACGTTGTAAAATTGTGATAAAAAGCAGCCATAAATTAAGATGAAAGCAAATTCTAGTGAAAAATGAACAATAATGTTTGACATTTCTTCATCTAATATGAATAAAAAATACAAATAATACTGTTATCCCATCTTCTGAAAAGAAAATTGACTATTTATTACACACAGTGCAAGGGACAGACTGAAATTTTCTTTTATTAATGCAACATTGATTGAGTTTATTTCATCATTTGTGAATACAGTATTGAAACTGGTTTCAAATTTTTGTAACCTGGTCTGTTTGAAAAAGCTGAAAAAGACAACCAAATGAAAACACCTGATTCAAATGCTGTTCATTCTGGGTTTCATACCTACACGAGAAATGATTCAATTATCAACAGTATATACAAAATAATCACATGAATAACCAAAAAGGCAAATGTTAATGAAAATAATTATTAAACATTGCCACAAAATGATAGTTTTGTGTCTGGTTAATATTTAACCGATGCTGAATAGAAAAATATGTTTTAATGATTCTAAAGTTTTTTGTATAATTTTGATAGTCTTCATTAAGATGAATTTTGTAATTTATGCATTTCAAGATGGCTTATTCAAAAATATTATGTTCACTTTTATAAAAGTTTCTGCTGAATATTTCAAGTATCTTATAATGAAATCATAACTTTTCCTCCTTTTATTTTCAGGTGTCTGATTGGTGGGAAGAATTTGTCTATCTTAGAGGCCGTTCCCCAATCATGGTTAACAGCAATTTTTACGGTGTTGTAAGTACAGCAAATTTTTTTGTTTCAAATAATTTCTCCACCATGCATAGGTCGGTGAACATGTCAAAAAAGATTTCTTTTTAATCATTTCACCCCAAGTAAGGCAATAAAGTCACTAAGATACAAGGTGTTACTGAGTATGAGAAAATATGAGAAAAAGAAAAGCTTATTAATGAGAGAGAACAATCAAAGAACAGAAATTAAGAAGACAGATGATAACGATTGACATTGCATTAAAATTTTTGAAGATCAAAATTGACTGGAAAACAAGAAGCTGAAATAGAGTTCCACATGCGAGAAGTGTAGGGAGAGACTGTTAGCATGGAATTTACAGTTACATCTAGATGTTTCAACTATACAACTTACACTTACTGCACTTACATTCATAAAGTCTAGGTTTCAAAGAGGAAAATTCATCTGAACAATTACCATGAAAGTATTTATAGAAAAGGCACAGGGAAAGTACATTACAGCTCTGGAAAAGTTACTAAAGACAAGATGCCAGGTCAGGACCAATAACATTGCAGATTCTTATTTGTATTTTATCAAGAATCTCTAAATTTATAGCTGAAGCATCAGACCAGATGTGACAGCAATATTCAATGCATATACAAATGTATGTAAGACAGATTCTGAATCTAATATTCTAATATCTCAATAATACATAATAATATATATAGATATAATATATTTAATTATAATTCTAATATTGCTATCACTACCTTTTTTGCAGTGGTAGTGACATTCAAATTGAAAATGCAAGTGTAGCCTATATTTAACTACTTTTTGTTTATCTATACTTTTAAAACAGTCATGCTTATTGTTCTTCAAAGATTTTCAAATTTGAACACTAATTCTGATTTTGCATCACAAAGTGTATGTGTTCATACCTACATACTAAGATCTACTATTCTACTCAATTTTTTGCATAGATATGTTCTTTTCTCATTCCTGACAAAAGAAATGTTTTACTTAATAGCAAAACAAAATTGTTATTTTGCTTTGCAATCAATTTCTGTGTCTATCTAACATAAAATCTTTTTGCTTTATGAACAAGATAATTATTATGACCTGCAAAAATCAGTCTTTAGTCACTTTAATGGCCAAGATAAAATTGAATTCAGAAGTATGTTGTGATATAACTAAATATGACTGATTTCTAATCTAATTGATAAAGTTCTGTCATGGTCTTACAGGTGCTCAAATATAATGTAAAAATATGAGAAATTGGAGAGCTGACTTTGAATTCTAGTTGAGATTCTTATATGCAAATACCTTTGGGAAAGGTATTAATCCATCTCCTCCACTCCCAGCCATGGGTTAAATAATAGGTCTTTTATCAGTAAAAATTGTTGTTATTCTCAAAAAATTAATAAAAAAATATTCATTAGCAAAAAAATTTTTAAATTATTCTTACAACCCAAAATATGTTACAGCTTTAAATGACCCAAAAAGTGGTGATAAACTGTAAAAAATAATTTTTAAAATTACACTGGTGTAGTTATGTTGTAAAATAACTACATGCATTGAACAGATAACTTATGAATATATTCAATTTTAAACCTGGACACTTGCCAGTTCCAAATCACCTCTCTCCTTGTTTCCTTTTCTTTCTCTTTTTTCCCTCCTTCCTTTGTTCCTTTTTGAATATATTTTCTTGATATTCTCTCTACCTTACTTCTTACATCAGGTGAAAAGCAGTCAACCTTTTGGCTGTTACCCACAACTGTTTCTCTTACTATATTACATCCCCTCTCCTATATATCTCTCTTTAGTCATACATATCTCTTTCTCTCTTTTTCCATTCCCCTATATTAAAACTTTATTTTAAAATACATCTTATGCTTGAAAATCCCCTTGTACAGGGATGAATTTTAAATCTATTTGTGAAACTGTTTGGTCTAATGAGACAAGAACAATTAATCAGTCTTGCGAAATAAAATATTGGTATGGGTTTCTAAAGTCTCTGCTTTCATCATTATCATTTGCTCTGTTCTTACATTGAGCTCTCTTTGGATTTATCCATATGAATTATCAAATATTATTATATATATATATATATATATATAAGGATATTACAACAAAAACATGTAAGAATCGCTACACAACTGCAGTCGTGTTTCAATGCATAACAATGTGTTTCCTCAGATGATTGTAAATTACTGGCAAGTAAATGATTAATTTGGTTTCAAAAGCAAAATACATTCTCATTTTTTTTAAAAAATGTAATGCTTAAGGGCTTTACCCTGATCAACCAGTCGAATATGATGTACATTGAATTCAAACTAAGTGAAAAATAAAAAAAATTAGAAATTATTATCTTAGAAATGTGTCATGGCCAAGATTTGACATCTAACAGCAGCCAGACATTAACTTAAAGACTGGTACAAATAGTTACGATAAACATACACATGCCAGACAATCAACTTTTATAAGAAATAAATATTGCTCTACTATATATTGAGCCCTCTTTTAAATGTTACGAATGTTGGAAGTGTACTCTGTTCGTGCTCATCATACCTGGACATATATACATGGTCTGCCAACAAAGCATAATGATCAAAAATTTATAGAACTGTATAACTTAAAACCTTTTTTTCTTATTTGCTGTCATCTACAGTGTATTTAAACATTTTATGTAAATTACTTTTTTTTTTTTTTTCAAATACCTTCTTACTGACAATATGTGTCTAAATTTTGGTGACATTTGTAACATGTAATTCTCTGCAACAGTAAACAAATGTCAGCCATTTTGGTGATAGTACCTTTATTGGCATCATTTTGAGTAAGAATAACATGGCAAAAATTGTTAAAATATATCATGATCATTAAACAGCATTAAAAATTTTTAGAAATTCCTTGCAAGAGACCATTATACAATCTAGAAGTTTGTTACAAACCTGGCTGTTTACAGTTCACAACTTGACAAAGAGAAAATAGGAAAATCTTTGACTTTCACTTGATCGATGGAAAGCTAATTGAAAATTGAACTGCACGGGTCTCCATTTAAGAGTAGTAAAGCCAATGAATGAATTAGAAGCCAATGGAATTCTAAATGCGTCTAAAAGTAAAACATGTTGCCACATTTATGAAATTGTAATAAATCAATTATTTATCTACCTTTGAAGTTGAATCACCTTATTAAGTGGGTTAACTGGGACATATACTATATGAAACTGGATTTTCAGAAATCACTATTTATGGACAAGTTTACAGTGAGGCTTAATAGCCCTGACATTTGGCAAAATGAGGATTCTGTTTACAGTAAATTTCCGAAAGGCAACCTTCAAAACTAGTTTAAGAAAAAAAACAGTGGCATTCATATGAAAAGCCATTTTTGTGCACAATAACACTCTAGCTAATGCAACTAATGAATACTTAGGTAAATTAGTATTTTAAAAGTACAGGCTTATGGTGTGACTGTCAAGTTCTCTTGCTTCAAAACTTTTTATTGGGGTTTAGATCATTGTCAAGACACATGCATATATGGTTGACAAGTAATTTGTATTCAAAAATGATATTAGCTGTTTTCGCTTCAAGAAATTCTCAACTTAAGTTGTTCTGCTGACAAAAGGCTGTTTTCAAGTTATTAAGAGAGAATGGAAATTATATCAATGAGTATTCTTTTGCTTTGTTGTATCCAACATGTCCTGACAAATTTAAATTTATTTTTTGAATAAATCATTATTAGGTTAGTAATTGGCTTTCATTATTTTCCCTTTTACAGACATTCACATGGATTTTTTTGAGATGACTGTATAAATATGGAACAGTCTAAAAAATAATGTTTTGAGATAGTCAAACATAAACTGAATTCTGTTCCATACTGTGATGTTTTGAGATATTCAAGGATAAACTGAATTCTGTTCAGTATTGTGATCTAAGGTTTTGAGATATTCCACATACACAAAAGACTTATAGTTGACCAAAATTTTGTGAATTTTCAACCATTAGTTTTATAATTATTGTAATTTTTCTTATTTGCATAAAATGTTGAAATATACTGTATATTTATATAACTAAACAATAAGTATTGTTACAAACTGAGTACCTACTATAAAGTAATGGTCAGTGAGTCATAATTCTCTGAGATTGATAATAACCAAGTTGTAAAACAATTGGAATCAGAATTTCACATTTTATTCCTGATATTTGAGTTTTTCCAAAATTATTCTAACTTCTTTTTTTCTATCTGTCTTTTCTTCAGGATGCAGTTCTCTTAAACCATTCTGATATCCAAGTAGCTCGAGCTGCTAACCTTATCTACGGCATGTTACTCTATCGACGCAAACTAGATCGACAAGAACTGAACCCTGTAAGTATACATTTTTATGTGAACATCTTATATGTACACTGTAAGAAGGTGTGTCTTATTTGATAAGAAAATTTCTTTCTTATTTTTGCAAAGTTGATATCTCTTGTAATTATTTTTCTTAGCAGCCTTTTTGCAAATTTTCCTTTTTTGGATACAAGTCAGATAATGAAATGAATAGAAAAGTATTAATTTATACCAGAAAGTTTGGTAGTCTATTTAATTAGCATTTTGCATTCATTAAACCAATATATTTATAATATTAAGTCAATTGGCTATGAATGTTCCTTATGATATTTTGTTGCTTGCATAGACTCTTACAATTATTTTATTTGCCTGAATGATGTAAATGTTGTCTTGAATTTTATATAATAATATTTGGCAAACTTTCTATCTTTGTGCCCACAAAAAAAAAAAAAATGGAAGGTCAATGTTGTGGCCTTGTTAGGGCCAGAAATTACCATAACAGTCAAAAAGATAGTTTTTCTATTGACACCATTATTATTTTAACTACCTTCACTCCTTGGCAATGTTTATTGTTTAAAAAATGATGATTACAATTTTAATAAAACCTAAACATGTGAAAGTGAATTTATGCATTTTCTTTTTCTATTTATTTATTAGATTCTTACACTATTAGATTTACACTATTAGCTTGTTTATTGGAATGGTTGGCAAAACACCAGCCAATTGCCAATTGATTTGAACTTTATTAATTTTTAGCAGATTCTAGATAAAGCTCTAGAAAATTTCATTCAAATAAATTTTCTCAGTTGAATAATGATTTTCAAAAATTGAGCAGGTGAAAATGACACTATCTCAATGTGACATTCATGTGAGAAAAACTGAAAAACATATTGAACAAAATGTTGAGATAAAACAACAAAGATAAGGATAGAAATAATTCAGCGAAGAATGAAAATGAAATAATTGCTTTATTTTTAAAGAGCCATATTTTAATTATGTGTAACTTTGCTTTGAGGAACTAAAGTTTAAAGTTTTTAATTTGTTTTAAAAACAATAATCTGCAATTACTTGATCAGGCATTTTTATAAATAATTAATAGCTGATAAACAAGTAAAAAATAGATTTGATTTTGTAAATCAAATATTACCTGTAAGCATGTTTTTTTTTTTTTTTCTCATTTATATATAGAAATTGTCTTATGAACAATATATTTGATCAAACTTGGATATATATGATTTCTACTCTTACCTATAACCAGAGTCAGTGCAATGGTCTCATGTCCCCACCAATCTATGATACAGACCCTCTCTCTCTACTATATCTCAAATTTCATAAGGTAGTAGTCATATAAAATACAAGTTTTATTGGAACCTAATTATGTACAATAATGGATCAGATGCAATATAAGTGAACAATTCAACAAGAAAAATTGAAAATTAATACAATGTATCTAAATACAAATTAGAGACATAATAGATCATTTCATCTTAAATAAATCAACAATGTTTTGTAGCAATTTTTAGCATCAACTCAAAATTTTTCTTGTTAAAATGTTGAATAATTTTAATACATTCAACATTATGGATAAAAAATAAGGAATTTTATGTAGTGCTTTCTTCAAGATTCAGCATGAGCAAAACAAATTTGGACGAAAAAATCAAAAAGATCCCAGAATAAAATCAAAATCTCCAAGCATTTTTCATCCTTTAATAGTCAGTGGTGCTTAGTTTAATTTGCAATGTAGGTAGAAAAAATAGCAAATGTTGATAAGATATCAAGGGTCACAAAGCACGGCCTTGGACCTCCAATCAGGCTTTCCAGCCCTGTCTATAACATTAGTACTGCCTGTGTACCATAATAGCTGTTAAATTTAATGTATAAATTATATATGTAAATGTAAAAACTATTATGGGACAGTGATAGTAATATTTATTGATATGAAATGATTATTAATCATCAAATTTATCTTACTTAATTCTGATCCCTTATTTTAGGCAAAAGTAACTGAATTATTTTCACTCTTTGACTTTTCATTTTTATTGACAGGAATTAATAATGAATGTGTTATTATTAAATTGATAACTATTACAGATTATAACATCAAGAAGATATTAGAATAGAAAGAGAACTAAAAAGAAGGCATTTAGTTGTATGCTAGAACATTTTCAAATTGATTGGCTATAATAAAAGTTTTTTATCATATAAAATATAATAAATGCAATCGCCTTTCATTTATTAAAGAAAATATTTTATTTGTATATGAAAGGATAGAGCTGATGATTCTAATTTTATATGTAAGACTTTTTCTTTGTCACTATATTTCAAATTCTGATATTGTGGATTTGTATAATATAAATACTCTTTTCAGATCTTATTGAACAAAATAATCCCTTTATGTTCAGCACAGTATGAACGCCAATTCAATACAACTAGAATTCCAGGAATTGAAAAAGGTATATGGAATTTTTCTTTTTTCTTCTTTTTCAAATATATACAAGGCACACACTAATTTGCAACTATTGAGGACTTTACTCTCCATGAATCACTAATCTACAGTTGGCCCAATCAGCAAAATATTTGTGTTCAAAACTTTTACTAAACTAAAAACAACTTTGCAAAATATATTTTAAAAGAGTAAAGTATAACAAAACATGATATTTTAGTTAATCATTTCACCCCAAGCAAGGTGTTAATGCCACTAAGAAGTAAAAGTTTACTGGGACTGGAAGAGAATGAGAAGACTTTAGTGAGGAGAAAGGACAATAAAAGAACAGAATTCAGAAAGACAGAAGATGGCAATTGATATTGCATTTGCATCTTTGAAGAACATAGGTAGCAAGAAACCAGAAGAGAGTTCCAGGGGTGGGAAGTGCAAGAGAAAAATAGAACTTACAATTACCTCTAGCTATTTTGACAGTAAAACTACAAAACCTAGTATGCAATTGTTGTATCCTTAAAGAAGTTACAAACAGACAAAGGTGGTACTCGAGTGAAAGGAACAGCAACACAGGTGTAGATGAAAGAAAGATTTATTCTAAAAGAGAATACACTACTGAAAGACGGAATCAGTTAGCAAGCTAGTAATTCCCGAAGCAAGTCAACCAGGTATATCCTGTGCACACTATATATATCTACTGATATAGTCAGTCCACAATAGGCGATAGGGAGAGTGGGACATTCCATTACAACAGCAGTCTAGTAGCATACTTAATTCATGCAGTCAAGGTACTAATTAGAACTTATTAGAACAACTCCCATGAAAATATTTATAGAGAAGACAGGGAAGCCATGTCATGGCAGTGGGAAAATTACCGAAGTCTAGATCAATGGCATTACAGACACTTCTTTGGATTTTTTCAAGAATCTCAAGAATAGCCAGAGCACCAGACCATATATGGTAGTAATATTCAATGCACTGATGAATAGTAGTTTTATAAATGTGCAAGATGGATTTCAATGAGAAAATTTGTCTGGCATGATACAGTGGACCAACCTTCTTAACAGCAAACTTAGTAATTGGTTCAATATAATTGCTATACTTCATGTCAGTGGAAAATGTGAGACCAAGAAAATGCAATGATTTGTTTTCATGGAGGTTAGCATCAGCCATACTGATTGAGGGCAAAAATGGTTCTCTATGATGATTAAAGGATAGCAGTTTCCTTTTGGAGATGTTAGAATTTACAAGCCATTTCTAGACATAAATCTTTAATAATAATAATATTTTGAAAATAACAAAACTAATGATCAATGTCCTCAAGGTCATCAAAATCTGAAACATCAGATCTTGACGGAAAAGCTTAAATTAAAAAAAAAAACACAAAAATAAAAATACCAGAAGTTCTTTCTTCTTTTTCTCCATATCTCATTATCTCATACTCTGGTGAAACTTTAATAATAGTGAAATATAATAAATTGATAAACATTTCCTATTTGTTCTTTATCTTATCATTTCTATTCTATATAAAATTTTTTTTAAATCTCTGTACTCATTTTTTAAATATTAAAATTTTTTTTTTTTTTTTTTTTTTTTTTTGTTCGAATCAAATTGCAGATACTCTTGTTCATTACAAAGACAGTGACCATATTGCCGTTTATCATAAAGGTCGATTCTTCAAAGTTTATATTCGTTATGGGGGCAGGTTACTTCAGCCATGTGAAATAGAAGTGTAAGTACTTTCAATTCTTTTTCTTTGTTGGTTATTATTGTCCTCAGCCAAATGATTGCATTTATTTTATTATGCTACTCTTACTGGAACTCTCAAGCCAGGTCTCAGTCATTTTTATTTGTGCATTATCATCTGCTACTACTTGGTGTCCTATTGTAGAGCAAAATGATTCACAGAATAATTTCAGAAACTGTTGAGTTCAACCCTCACTAGGTGCCTCACAAAGCTTAGTAAATATCTGCTTGACCTATCTTTTATTTGATGATGAGGTTCAGATCTAACCTGTTACTTGTTGGATTATCGCCCCTTGATAATAATCACAGGTGGCAAGATTTTGAATTACTGCCCCCTGACAATAATTACAGGTGGCACGAGATTTGAAAGAATCAATCTTTCATACGTATTCTTTTTGCTAGCACAAAATTGTGAGTATTCAACAACAGACACTGAATGTTACTTTGAGCTCTTTTCATTTCGTTTCTCATTTTTCCTTTTGTAAAATGTCCTATCAATATATTTGTTAATATTTCTTTGTTCAAATTCTATGTCTTATTTTTCCTTTGGACAAGTCCACGAAATTGTTTGTGTGTTAAATGTACCAGGAGCATATAAAATCGCATCAAAATGCTGAAACCTGCAACATACTATTATTACTTGTTGTAAAGACATTGCCACAACAATTTTGTTATTTCTTGACATCATAAATATTGGTATATATGGTATCATATTTCCCATAAAAACAATGACTGAATTATTTATATATAAATTGCTAATTCTGCCTAGGATTAAAATGTTGTTTCCTGATACATCTTCCTTTGATAAATGTACTAATTGTATGCTCTATGCAAATTATTATACAGGCATGAAAATATAGCTATCAAAAGCTGTATTGGCTCATTTCTATAGAACTGGGGAAAAAGAGGTAGGTGAGGACAGGAGAAAGAAGGTGTGAAGGTGGAAAGATAGAGAGTAAGAAATCTAGAGAAAAATGAAAAGAAAAACGGGTAAAAGAAAAGTGGGGAGCAATGGCCACAAACACATTGGCATCTATGTGTTTCTCTCTATCCCTTCCCACCTTCCAAAAACTAAAGAAAATATGAGGAAACAGGAAAATCTTGTCCAAAATAAGGAAAAGAAAAGAAGACTGAACAGCTATGTAATATCAGTCTTCATCTCTTACAGTAAATGCTGGATAATTTTGTCACAGATAAAGAGGAGACTTGTCGCAACAGATGTTTTTCTTCAGAAGAATGCTGAGAATACGATGGACTGAACATGTCAGAAAGCTTTAAAGAAAATGGGATAAAAAAAATTTGCACTTGTACATAGAATAAGAAAGAAATGTTTGAAATTTTGGGGACATAAAATGAGGAATGAGGTCTTAGAGAATTTGACACTCATAGGATTGAATGCAAAATGGTCAAAGGGAAACTGCTACGTAAAGAACTTTCATAAATGGATATACTGGGAGGGATAATAAGGGGACAATTATTTTGTTTAGCACTACAATGGATAGGACATCATGTAAAGCTATGTCCTAAACAGACACAGCACATAAAAGAAAGGAGAAGACTTTACAATATATTTCAGACAGTAGAAATCTGTTGTTTTTATCTTTATTATTAAATACTATATTATTATTATTATTTATTTATTATTATTTGTGTGTATGTGTATTTTAAAAGAAAATGTGTTACAAATGTTGCGGAATACTCCAGAGGAATTTATTTCTCTTTAATGTTTCAGTAAATTTCATTATTTTAAGAGATTAGTTCTTGTGAATGTATCCTCCTGAAGAGAGAAAAAAATGTGATAAATCCATAAATGATCTTCAAAGTATATTTTTTTTCATTTCTTTTTTATTTCTTTTTTCATTTTGTTTTATTTCTTTTTTCATTTTTTTATTTTTTCATTTCTTTTTTTTATTTCTTTTTTTATTTTTTCATTTATTTTTTTTATTTCTTTTATTATTTTTTATTTATTTTTTTATTTATATTTTCATTTTATTTCTTTTTCATTTTTTTATTTCTTTTTTATTTTTTCATTTCTTTTTTTTTTATACTGATATTCCAAATCTTGGTTCCTTTTTAACTAGGATGTTTCAGTAACTATCTTCAGATTATATTACTATTAGCCTAGTATTACATTCTTTTCATGTTTAATTTTTCATGTGTAGAATGTTACAAAAGATTGTGGATGACCATACACCACCTTGTAAAGGAGAATTACAACTTGCTGCCCTCACAGCTGGAGACAGGGTGCCATGGGCCAAAGCACGTACTGAATTTTTTAGCAAAGGAAAGAACAAAATTGCTTTGGATGCTATTGAAAAAGCAAGTCAATTTTATTTTTTTCAAATTAGCTTTTTTAATGTTTTATGCAGTCTAGAACTAATGCCCATTCTGCTATTCTTTCTAACATATGCATGGTATTATGTTTTTTCTCTGTTGTTTAGGTTCTCTTTATTCTTTAAAAGGTAATATGCAGAACATTGTGTTCTGCATTCTTTAAATGATAATATAAAAATTGTAATCTTTTTTAAATGTTAACCTTCAAATGCTATCATTGTTTTTAAGTAAAAATAACTTGCAAATTAAAAATCTAATAAGTTATTTTTATTGCCATCACTTAGAAAACAATCATAGTTAACAGTAAATATCAGTAATTTCCTATTTTGTAATGAAACATTCTGTTGTGTAGTGTGTCATTCAAGGTTTTTGAATACCTCCTTCCTCATTTGTAGAATGATATATACAATGTATTCATATGCAAAACTTATTTCAATATCATTATGCATTCACAATCTGTTTGATAAAATTTATAAGATTGTTTATGTAAATTGAAGGAAAACAGTACTTGATTGTTGCAAAATATTTTGAATGGATTCCTTGTGGAGAGTGCTTTTTGCATTACCATCCATCATAATAACATGGGAATATTCCTTAGCCACATTTTTAATCATCTTTTAAAATTTTTAAGTTTTAAAATAATCACAAATATTCCCTTTTCAAATATCCTCATTACACAAGTTAGAATTGACTATATGTAGTGGAAATGTTTTAATTACTGTTGTTCATGACTATTATTTAATCTTTTCAATTTTATTTCAGGCTGCTTTTTTTGTTACCTTAGATGATGAATCTCATTCATATGACATGGTAAGTTTAATTTCTGACATACTGAAGTCATTATCTTTTTGTTGATAATTTTGAAGTTAAAAAGTCTTTGCTTTGATTCTAGAAATGGATGAAGGAAGAGAATTATTCCTTGTTTTAAATCCTTTGATTTGTTTCTTGTAAAATAGTGAAATTTTACATTGGTATAAAATTTTCATTATTTCTCATATTATTTGGACTAGTAACTTCATTCTTATTTTGTTTTCATAACATTTTAGCATGTAAAAATCTACCATATGTGGCATAAACATTAGAAAAACCAAGGAACATATCAGCTAAAATGTTATTAAAAATGATGTCTATGATATTAATTCAAATTCTATTTAAAAATATTCAGTGAACAAGTCTCCCATTATTATGATTTATTTTATTTTTTTTAATCAGTATCACCCCATGTAAGGCAGTAAAGCCACTAAGACACAAGGGATTACAGGGTGTGGAAGAATTAGGAACAGAAACCTTAATAATGAGCACATAGAGGAAAAAGTGATCAGAAGGGCAGTAGATAACAATTGACATTGCATTTAAACTTTTGCAGATTAAAGTTCACTGGAAAGTATGGAGCTGGAAGGGAGTTCCACAAGTGAAAAGTGCAAGAAAAAAAAACTACTAGCATAGAACCTACGGCTTCATCTAGCCAACTCAACTGTCAATTGATGAGATCTCGATAACAGTCTAGTACTATACTTAAATTCAAAAAGTCGAGGTACCATAGTGAAGAGTTTATCTGAACAATTACCATGAAAATATTTATAGAAAAGATACAAAGAGGCAACCTTAGGCCAATGGGAAAGTGGCTGAAGCCAAGCCACCAGATCAGGACCAGTATAATTGCAGATTCTTCTTTGGGTTTTATCAAGGAGCTCAAAGTAAATAGCAGCAGCACCGGACTATATATGGAAGCAATATTTTAAGCATGGACAAATGGTAGGCTTATAGATAGAAAGAAAAATTGTCTCATATGACACAATGAACCAACTTTCTTAGCAGTTGACCTAGCAATGGATTCAATATAGTCTTTGCACTTCATGTCAGCTGAGAACGTTATCCTGAGAAGACGCAACAAGTCACTTTCATGGAGGTTAGCATCAGCCATGCTGATGGAAGGCAGAGAGGGCTTTCTTAGATGATTAATGGAGAGAAGTTTAGTTTTGAAGGCATTAAAATTAACAAGCCATCTTTTGCCCTAGTTAATGATGGACTTGAGGTAGTAGTAGTAGTAGTAGTAGTAGTTGTTTTCCAGTCCAATGTTACTTAAGTGATATAGAATGTAAACTGACCAGAGCATTACAATAAAAAGCAACAATAAAAATGAAAAGTAAAAAGCTTGTTAATAAAATAATAAATACGTTTAATTTTTAATTATTTTTAACAAATTTGTATAACTACCACTTTAAATAATGATCCTGGCTTTAGTTATAAATCTTTCTTTTTCAGAACAATCCCTCCAAACTGAATGAATTTAGTCGTTCAATGCTGCACGGTAAAGGCTACGATCGCTGGTTCGATAAATCTTTCACTTTGATTGTTTGTGCCAATGGAATGGTAAGTTCATTTCACTCTCATCTTAGCAATAGGTTGATCTTACAACTGGGAAAAGCCATCTTGCCTGTCTTGAAAATCAACTTTAAGATCTTGCTTGAACAATGACTTTTATTACAAGTGTAAAATACACAATTTTTTCAGCCACAAGCCAGAAACTTCCTTTACAGATGGCATGGAATATCTATCTTCTCTCTCTCTATATATATATATATATACCAAATTCAATTATCATATGTATGTAAACTATTTATTTCCATGTGATACATGGTCAGTTTTACATAAGCCCAGTCCTCATAACCACTTTCACAAAATTATCAAAGTTTTCTGACCCTTCCCTTTTCAGCAAAGGCGTGGTGCTGTCCCAGGGTGGAAATTTTCAGGACTAGGCTAACCCTGTTGTCTGTCATGTCACAGCTGAGAAGAAACATACTATACTTACATTCCAGCCTAAAGGCTGAGAGGTGTTCTCTGAGTAGAGGTTATCCATGTAAGTCATTAGTACAACAGTGAAATTCTTGTATCAGATACTCTTCTCATTTGATAGATTTTGAATATTTTACAAGTTTTTTTTTTTTTTTTTTTTTTAGATTATTTATTAGCTATTATTAAATTATTATTGATGAACTCCTCATTTTTACAAATCTTCACATTTTTTTTCATGAAAGAAGTCTCTTATATGAATATACTAGTTTCAGTACTAATCAGCCTAAAAGCCCATTTTTTTAAAATAAGATTATATTAGTATGCCAAAAGTCATGAGAATGGTGCTTAGTAATGTCTAGGATTCCTCTCTAGCTCATCAGAGTGGAATAATATGACATGGCATCAGTTCTACAAGTGGTCAGAAGATCAGAAGATATTGAGTCATGCCATGGTCCAATTAACAACATCATAAGCCCAAGTGAGGTAAAAATCATAGTGTTAACAGGAGCATCCTTTTGGCTCTTCTGCTCCCATATTCTATGGAAGCTAAAGAACACTGAACTGATCTGCTGGATATTGTATTGAATGTGAATGTGATTTGAGCCAGTGTCACTCATTTGTTACCAAAAATGATTGTAACCAAATGTTTCTGTTCATGATCATTAACCCTAGAACACTAACCATGGGTATATCGTACACAGCACAAATTTTCCTGATTTTAATTACAATTTTCAGTACCTGATTTTCTTACTTAAATAATGTTTTTCAGTTCCTATTAATGTTAACTCAAAGTACAAAGTTTGAAGTGCCTGCTGCATGTAAAATATTTCAAATAAAGATTTATATTTAATATTTTTTTTTAATATTTTCAATATGATATACCCATGGTTAGTAGTGGTGTAACTTTAATTGATGGTTAGTGTTCTAGGGTTAAGGACCTGTGATTGATTAGCCTTATGCTGTCCATGGTGAGTGGTAATGCCATTCCCAGTACTCGTATGACACTATAGATTGAGGAATGTTGAATGTTCCTAGAATTTTAGAAATTGAATATCCCATCCATCTAGCATCTGTTAACATGCCTTGTTTGAATGTTAATAATTCACATTGGTTTGCCATATACAGCCTAGCTGGTGTTCACATTGACTCACCAGATATAGATTTAGGTATTTTCATGATATCAAGGTAAAAAAATTGTGCAGCCACTCATATACGAAGATGCCAGCCTACTAGGGTAGCTTGTTAATCCCCATTGCAAACACCTGCTCAGGCACATTTGTATTTGTTCAACACCCACATGGCTCACCTTTGGTTTATACTGCAACTATGTTGAGCAGACCTTAGTTACAGTTTCTGGGAGAGTGCACATTATCTAGCATGATCAACAATTTGAACAAGGCTAGCACACTCAAATCCTTGGTTACAATGACTTGCAACTTCAAGCTAGCACAACTACTGACAACTCCCAAATTTCACTTGGGTCAAACCATGGTATGGTTTTCAGGTACTTTCTAAAGGTGCCGCTGCTGGGATTGCCTCTTCCAAACTGGTAACATCAAAAAGTCACCTTCCTGACAAATTGACCATTGTGAGATTTGAACCTGGGTTTTATGGCCAGAAAGCAAATGTTCTAAACACTCACCCAGGTAGAGTAGCACCACTACCTGCTATCCCTTGAGCTTTGGAAGGTCAGCATATAAGTACAAATGATAACTGTTGCACAAAAAAGACAGCTTCATATTTCAAACATAGGTTTGGATTTTTCCTTCCTTTACACTTTCATTAACTATAATTATAAAAATACTTTTACATTTTAGAGTTATTCACAAACCATTTTGTAAATCCTTGACAAAATCTCAATTGTACAATTCTTCCTGTATCCTGAAAGTTCAGAATAAGTAGATATTAGTTGCTAACAAAATTATTATTTTTCTGATATCTGATTTCTCCAGATGTCTCATGATGTAATTTCTGATAACTGATTTCTCCAGATGTTTCATGATGTAATTTCTGATATCTGATTTCTCCAGATGTTTCATGATGTAATTTCTGATATCTGATTTCTCCAGATGTTTCATGATGTAATTTCTGATATCTGATTTCTCCAGATGTTTCATGATGGTTTCATAGTGTATTATATAATTGAGTAGAATAATGCATCATTTTTTTACATTAGTAGATAAAGCAATTTTTAAAATCTGTAAGGCTAATAAATAAAAAATGCATTATTTCCTTAGAAATTGCTTTGTTTGTGTTAGGATATGACACTCAGCAGATATGAATGCTTCAAGAAATTTACACTTAAAGGTGCTATTTAGCTTTTGTTGAATTGCCAGACCCTTCATGGCTAAGTTGGTCTAAAGCCAGTTGGATCTAACAATGTTTTCTCCTGCTAAGGGAATGCAGGTTTCAATTCTGCTAGAGGGCGCATCTTTTCTTTAATAAGATTTCTCAAATGTTCAGGCCAGTAGATGAAAATTAATAAATATACTGTTTAATAAATAAACGGGGCATCTACTCAAATATGAGTATTTAGTAAAAATAATGTTTAAGTGATAAAATAAGTAGGTAAATATAGAGATTTTTTTCTCCAAATGTTTAAATGTTAAAAAAAATGACTTATGTCAGTTTTTTTTTAAGTGGGTACATTTCAAACACAAATATTTAAAATTTCCATTAATGTGTTTTGTTCTATTACACAACTCATAATTTGTTTTTTGCTTTAAATTTTGCTTTATATAGTTTGTGTTTGATCTGCAATTTGTGATGAATATTTTTGTAACTCTTTGGTAGTTCTTCTTGTTTGCAGTGGCAGGAATGACTAGATAGTTCAGGTATTGTTATTTACAAACATTGTTTTTTTTTCTCTTTTCAGGTTGGATTTAATGCTGAACATTCATGGTGAATATTTACTTCTCTTTCACACAACATAAATAAAAACCAAGACATCTACACAGTTGATTAATTTGAATTGTTTAGAATCTCTTTCATAGAGATTTGTCTTCTGTGGATCTTTTCTCTGATAAAAAATTAGGTAGAACCTGAAAATGTTTAAAATATTATTCTGATTATTACATTATATTATAATGTAATAACCAGAATAATATTACATTTCTACTTCTTATATGAGGATAAATTCAGAAATCAATTAATCTTGTTAGATTTTTTTCCAAATAAAAAGAATACTTTGGGCTAAATGACCAACATAGATAACAGTACAAGAGAAAATTTTTTTAGTTAGCATAGTACCTATAAAAAATGAGAGGATTATTTTTATATGGATTGGCAATTCTGCCTAAGATAAGTGTAATATTTGTTAGGACTATAAAAAGTGTTACACACACCACACACATTCACTTCCACATAACAAAAGAAAACAAAGGCAGGAGAAAAGGTTATAGAGTAAGTAAGAAAGCTGAATACAGGGCCAGATTATCCTTTAGGCTAGTGTAGAGTCCTTCAAGCTTTTATAAAGCAATGATTTTAGATGTTATAACTTAAAATAAATCGCTTCAATGTCAATATGACAAACACATATTTATTTATTTACATCATTCAGACTGTTGTCCTCATCTTTACTGCCATATTCACAATGTTTCGGCTGTTAGATTCTTCAGATTGGAATTTTGAACCAAACCCTTTATTTTGTCCACCAGGGTAGATTGTTCTAGTTGTCTGATGTCTCAGTTATCTCCCTTTAATTCAACTTTCCAAGGTTTTGTTCACCACTACAGTAACCAGGTATTGAACTCACAGCTCTGGGTCAAGTCACTGGATCTGAGCAATGCTTTTATCCACTGTGCCATGTGTCCTTGTGCACATCAGTGTATTAATTTGGGGGATTTATAAAATTTATGTCTCAGTAACATTTTTTTCTTTTCTTTTTTTTTTTAACCAAAGCTCATATTGCAATTTGGCTATTATTTTTCTCTAGCACTCCATATTACTGGTTTCCATTTTGTATTCATTTTTATGCTTGGCCGGCTTAGGAGATTTTTTGGCCTAGCATATGTGAGATTCCTTAAGTTTTCATATTTTCCAGTGATGTTCTCTGTCTATTATTTCAACCTCATCCCACAGGGCGTAGTGATCTCCATTTTTCCTCCATATGTGGTCAGCTACACCTGATTTTACTATTTCCCGTTGTGTTATGGCTTTACAATGTTCTTGCAGCCTTACCTTAAGGAGGCAGCCTGTTTCTCCTTCATACTTCTTACCACAGCTGCATGGGATGGCGTACACACAGTCCTTAGTCATGTTCTCCTCTATGGAAGGGGGGTTCATATTTGGAAGAGATGTCTGAAAACTGTCAAACCACTTTTAAAGGTCATCCTGATGTTATAAGAACAATCTACCCTGGTGGATGAAATAAAAGGTTCAGTTTGAAATTCCAATCATCTGAAGAAGGCTCGGAGTGTACAACTGCCAAGACATTGTTAATATGGCAATAAAAATGCAGGCAACAGTCCAAACAATGTAAATATTATAATTAATTACAATACCTCATCTCAGAAATATATACATATATCATATTTATTTTGATTGTTTTATCATGATAATGCTGGTTATAAAAAATCTATTCTTTTTTTTTTTTTTTAGCACTATGGTTGTGTTGAAATATGAGATAATTTGGTATATAATAAATAGTAAAATAGTGGTATTTCTTAAAGAATATTTTTATTGACAAACAAAAGATAGCTCTTTTAGTTTATTTAAAGAATTTGTAATAAGTTTACTTCAGGCTATATAAATGTTGCTAAAATATATTGCAACTAAAATACATGTGATGAATGGTGTCTCAAGTGACAAACACGCATGCTAGAAGCATCGGTGGGAGAGCATTAGTTGTGGTGTAGCTTTTGTTCCTTCATTTGAATTTCATTGTTTTTTTTTGTTTTTGTTTTTATTATAGAATATTAAAAAAGGCAGTATGGGGCCAAAGAAACCCCAAAAAGACAGTTACCTGAGGTTTTTATGGACAGGGACTTCCCTTCCAAACAATAACATTTCTCTCCTCCCTTTCCACTTGTCATTAACTCTTCACCGTACATGTGCAATAAAATTTAAATATGTTTTAGTCTATATTTTATCTTCCGTTTACTGTTTTTTGTATTAATTTAATGATTTTCATTGGTTTTGTGCATGAACCTATGTATAAATTCCTGTTGTAAAAGTTTAATTAAGCAATCATCTAGGATTCAGAAATGGATTAATCCATTTTACATTGATTCCTAGGGAAAATAGTTTCAGTTTACAAACATTCTGGGTTACAAACGATCTTCAGGAATGAATTAAATTTGGGAACTAAGGTTCCACTGTAATTTTTTATATCATTAAAATATATCACTGACTTGATGTTCTTTTCATAAATTGGTAAAAAATACACCATAGAATTTCCATGGGTTTGTTTTGTATCATTCAGTCTTAATAATATTAATCAAGTATAAGTCATTGTTTCAGCTTTACAAAATCTTAAATATCTTATTTAGCATTGTAGGCTTCACAGGACACCTACAAAATCCACAAGAGTTGTATGAATTGATTTAAACTGAAATGATACATGAATACAAATTCTACAAACTGCAGAAATTTATTTTCATCACTTTGTTAACAAATAACTAATTAACATTATCTCTGCCTGGCTGTGCTGGCTCATTTTGAGAAAATAGAAAATTGCCATTTACTGGAAATAATGGTAAAGATGCTGACAGCAGTTTCTCATTGGTGCTATTATTTTGGTTTCAATTATCACTTCCAACACACAATATAATAAAAATACACAGCAAAACAGATCATATTGTATGCTACTATTTGTCTCTGCTGGATTGGAAATAGTACTAAGCCCTAGTTAGTTTATAACACAGATGCTAGGGACTAACAGAACAGATCATATTGTATGCTACTATTTGTCTGTGTTGATTTGGAAAATGCTAGGGACCAACATTTTACAGAACACAAACACACATATGTCAACAGCAGGCAATGTCAGTTTCTTAATGACATATAAGTACATCCACAGCCCTGCAATATGAATTGATTGTACAGGGTGTGGCTGAAATACCTCCCACATAATGGTAAGCCATTAGTGGCAATGCTATGCTGTCTTCATCTAGTTAATGTTTTACCATTGTGTAGGAGGTATTTCCACCACACCCTATATTAGAATATTACTAGAAACAGTTTAATGATTGAAATTTACTCAGATTCTATTTCCTTTGGGTTTTCTTGTTTTTCCTTCCCAATTCTTTTTCTACAGTTTCCTTTCTTCTTTGTATTTATTTTTCTTTATTTTTCCTATTGCAATATTTTCTCTTTTTTCATTCACCTTTTTTTTTTCATTCTCTCTCTTATCTTCTTTTTTATTCTTTTCTTGCATGCATTTTCTTTTTTTTTCCTTTCTTTGTTGCATTGAACAATTTTTGCCTAAAAATAAATTGTTATATAACAGGCAAAATTTGAGGAGTATATTTTTGCACGTGTCTTTATATTTTTTATTTTTTGACTGCTAAAAAAGGTATTGCTGACTATTTCAGGGCAGATGCTCCAATTTCAGGTCATCTCTGGGAATACGGTCTCAGTGAAGATGTTTTAAACCTTCGGTATGATTTTGCATATGTTAGGATTGCATGCATTTGCTTTTTAGCAGCACAACTTATCACTAAATTCTACTAGAAGTAATATTAACTGCCTTTTGCTCATTGACACAAACTGCTGGAAATATATGGGTTTGTTGTTAATAGTGATGATGGATTAGATTTCTTTTTCTCTTTTTTTTTTTTCCACATTTTTGGTATTTCGATTTCAGTCATAACAATATTTATATGGTGTGGGTGTTAACACACACACACACTGAGAGAAAATAAAATAAAATTGTAACACCTTTTCAATTTTGACCTGGGCACAATGTATGGATGCTGGGTGTAGTAGATATTCTGATAAAATATTCAACATCTTCAATTATCTTATGACATTGTTACTAGTTCACTGTCTATATCTTTAATACACCATTCTATGTCATCTGAGTTTTAGATGGTGACACATGCTGCCATGAGATCCAGTTTCGTGAAAGAGTTTAATGCAAATAGTTGTCAGGTTTTGTTGATACACACATTCAATTTTTCTTAATTAGGGATATTTAAGAAGTGGTTCGTTGATGAATCTTTGTGAGGCTGAGAATTGCAGTGCATGTTAGATGTAATGTGTAGATGGTCTTTTGACACATTGGCAACGGTGATCAAATGAAAACTCCGATACCTGTAGACCAGGTTCTGGACTGCCATGTAGTAATCATTATTTAAACTTATATCAGGGTATTAACTATTACTAGAAAGCTCACAGTTCAGATAAACCAGCTGGACCATGCTAGATCGGATCTTCACCAAAATTCAGTGATTTATTTTATTTTTTCATACTATCCACAATTCTGCCTTGATTGTCCATTGGGATTAAGAATTCAGCTGACCTTGCTAGTGACAGACTAAGGTATAAAGTCATCAAAACTCTTCCCATGATCCTGTTACTGTGCCTGTATGCAAATCAACTTGTAAGTTGACACATGAAAGAATTTTATTCACAATAAATATATGAATCTGTCAGACAAATTCAGTGCTATCTGTTTATATTTCTGAGATGAGGTATTATGTACACATGGCAACAAAGATGAGGACGATAGTCCAAACAATGTTAATAGTGTAAATTCAGTGCTGTCATTGCAAACAGACAGGATGAAATGTAACAGAAGAGTTGACATCACCACTTACTTCACAACATTTTGCAAGATACTGTCCATGAGTAATTTCATTAACTGAACAATTTTTTCCCAGTCTAAGAGGTTTACATTTGTAGACTGATGATTGAGTGGAAGAGTTAGAGACCAATTGTCTGCAGGCCCGAGACCATTCCTGAAATGAATTGTTCAATCAATTACCAGTTACCATTCCAAGGCATTACTATTGTTTTGTGATATATTGGGAATAAGGTTGAAACCTACTAACTCACCCACTAGTTGTTGTTAGGTAGACCACAAAGAAAAGTAGATTTGAGAAAGATTAAACTAATAACTGTCACCCCCATCAAATAAACTTCATTGTTTCTACAAACAAAAAAGTAGTTATTTATTTCTAAAGGTTGCTTGCTTCTTTATTTTGCTTGTAACTTTGCTTTTGAGGGCATTTAAATCCTAAGACTTCTTCAGATCAAAATCTTAAACACAGTGTGTGTGGGGAAGATCAACTGATAGTTAGATGTCTTGTCAGCAGCCCCAGGATGGGAATCAAGAAGGGGATCGGGTTATACATTTACACTAATCCAAAGTGAGCGAGGAAGATCAACTCGTAGAGCGAGATGTTTTGGCAGCAGCCTCAGGATGGGAATCAAGAAGGGGGTTGGGTTATACATTTACACTAATCCAAAGTGAGTGAGGAAGATCAACTCGTAGAGTGAGATGTCTTGGCAGCCATTAACTTTGACAGCTGTCGAAAAATTGATACAGAATTTATCCATTTTGATGTTACAGTCAGAGGAAATGCCCAAGACAGTGGTTAGGGAAGAGGTTTTATAAAATTAAAACTGGATATTAACCTTATGACATTAAATTGGGGTTATGTGAAGAATGAGGCATTAATTTGAAACTAAAAGAGGGACGAAAAGGGAGTTTTATAGAAAAAAAATTTTATATATATAAAAGTTTAGGTTCCTAAAAAAAAAAAAAATAATAAATTATACTTAAAAATAAGATATATTTAAAAGATTAAAAATAAGTCATATTTAAATAACTTCATCTGACTGAAACATTGAAATGGATAAATTCAAAGTTAAATTTCTAATTCCGACATGAACACGGTCTATACACTGGGGTTGAATAAGACTGACATAGTTTTTGTCAGTTGAAATAGATTTATCCCCTTCCATATGAGGTAGTTTTGGATTTTGTTGTGTAATACTATATATATATATATATATATATAATTGAAAGAGGGGAAAGAATCATAATATTCTGAAATCACTTTTTTTATGACATGACAGATTTCTTGAGAAATCATATCCATCATCACTATTAATACAATTGTTGCTTGTCTTTGTGTTTTGTTTTGTTTTTCATTGTCTTCTAAAGATTTTTAGTTAGTTTTAGGGATTTCAGTTGCTGATTTTATTGTTTCATTTCTCTTTCATTTTGCTCCAACTCTGATGGTTTTATCATTTTGCTTGGCTTTCAAATTTTGGTTTACTGTTTCTTTTATCTGTTCTGTGTGCACCTACTGCTGCTGCTACTACTACTACAACAACAACACTGCACAATGCATCACTGTTTGCATATGTATCCAGGTCTGATGCACCTATCTCCAGTCACCTTTGGGAATATGCTATTCATGTGTCTACTAGAGAAGGGTAACTAATCTCGCTCTCTCTTTCTCTCTCCCTCTCTCTGCACATTGTATCTATAACTATTGCACAGAAATATACATTCCTAATACTACGACAGGGTAGTGGGGAAGTAAATCTTGCAAAATCACTGTCACTTCCAAAACTTACTTATGCTTAAATAGGCTTGACAGCTAATCATAAAATTAATAATTTATTCAATGTAGCTTCCATTATTTTCAATTAAAACCGCAACATGACCCCAAAAGACTGTACAACTCTCAACCACAGAGTCCTTGGACATCTTGGCCCACTCCTCCTTGACTACATCTTTGAGGCTATTGATGTTGATGTAGGAGGTTTTGTTAATGATGCAATCTGGCAGGTTCACATCCAGGATGGAGGAGGTGACAGAAATCTTCAAAATTAGTTTTGCACGTTGTTAATCAATAACGTCTCAGTGTAATGATACCTGGGTCCACATATGATTGGAAGTTGGTCTTTAGCTATAGCAAAACTCAGGACTTTGTTGTAGGCATCAGCACACGTTTTTTTTTACAAACTTGAAAAAAAAATTGTGTCATCTTTTTGTGCCAGATGTTATGACATACAAGAACATGATCAAGGCTGGATGTTTAGTCCTGTTGTCAACCTTGATATCAGTTGTTAGCCAGTTCTTTGCAACAGTTCAAAACTCCATCCACCATGAAGATTTCCACATCGGAGAATATTTTAACAGTTGAGCTGCAATTCCTGAGATATCTGGGCTCTTTCTTGTAGCTTTCTAGCCTCCTTGCCGTCAAGACTTCATGGGCTCATGACGAAGTGCCTTGGCATCCTGATGTATAATTTAAGACCCAAGTCATTATGCACAGCAATTCTAATGGTCTTATGGGTCCACTTTTAGCTCAGTAGCTAATTTGTGCATGATTATTGTTTTGGGGTTTGGGTGCAATCTTGCTTTTGAGGACATTAATGATTACACTTCTTGTTGGACCCACCACTGCCCAGATTCTTCTTGATGTTGCTGTGCATGTGTGTGCTCATAAATTATGTTGTAGCTGCACCAAACAAACCTGACATTCTTTACTATTTGTCCATCTATAAAGCCATTTTCCACAACATTCTTGACAAAATAGATGTGTATTGATAGCTGATAACACACTCTTTGTTATGCATTTATTTTCCCATTATTTGATGAAGTGGTTGGTGAGAAATTTTAGTTTAAATTTTACTGCAAGTTTTGCTTCCTTACCCTGTACAAATCCTATATTTAATATATAAAAAAAAATATGCCAGTGCTTTCCAAAGAGTGTTGAATTGATGCTTTCAAAGCTTTCCAAAGCTTTTAAAGTCATTAATTTTGCAAAGATTTTACAGCAGAATTCTGCAAAAACAAAATTGTATATTAACTGCAAGAAATTTATATTAGGTGTGTGCAGAAGTTCATTTTTTGAAAATTAAGAGACTTAATACACAGAAGAAACAATATTTAAAATGAAAAACGCTGGAAACCTTTGCACATTCCTAATATATAATTTTTATCAAAAACAAAAATTTGCTGTTATTTTATGAACTTTGTTTTAAATCTAATTACTTTTTTTCTTCAAATTACTCTTTTGCAGAAAGTTGGTTCATGTACTGATCATGTTAGACATTTTTTTATTTATCAAAAGCACTGATATATTTAGACATTGTTTTAATTATTTTTATTATGACTTTATAATGTTTTATTGCAAACTTTGATCAAGGCTTAATTAATTCCTTGGAATGTTATGCTATATACACACCAATTGGATGTTATTCAGCAATGATAAAAGAACTGATGAAATTGAACTCAATCTGATGAAATTGAACTCAATCTTATTCATTTGAAATGACAAGTTAATATAACTGCATCTAAATGTAAAAAAGAAAACTGGCTGATTACTCGATAACTCGGGTGGCAAAATGAAGGTAAAAATTTTCTTTGTCATACATTCATGTCATACCAAATATAAAAATATATTGTCTTGTGAACAAGACATAAATACCTTCAGAATTTGAATAAAATTCCCATTTAATGTTACAAAAGGTATTTATTGTGATAAAATATTTTTCTAAATTAACAATTTGAAATGCATATATATGTGTGTGTGTTGATTATTTCTGTACAAGTTTGATAGTGTTGACCTGTAACTGCAAAAGGAATTTAGAATATATGCAAAAATTATGTATTTAATAAATGCAACTTACAGCATAGGATAGTAAGGAATATTTTTCTACTTATATTTCTAAAGAAATCATTTTACAATTTCCTAAATCTTGATGCTTTTTATTCAAAGTTCACATAAGGCAAAGTCGGAAATATTATTTTTAGTGATAGAATGAAAGAAACAAGAATAAGAAGTGTGTGTAGAAAAAAAATAGATCTTGAGGAAGAGGTTTTGATGCTTAGAAGTTCAAAATTAAAAATATTATTTTTAGTGGGTACATGTACACATTCATGTACCCAGAACGTAAATATGCTGAGAGGCACAATTTTTCTTTAGTGAGTACTTCTTGACGTAGGCTGGTTATTAACTTCACTGTTTAAGAAAATAAAAAAACAGGTTTATCAACTGAAACACATGTACTGACTGAAAATAACATTTACAGTAATAAGAAATTATGTCTGATTAAAAAGAATGCATTTAAAAATTACTGTTGTTTATTTTTGAGTAAGAAAATGAGGCTAGCAGATATGGATTTGCAGAAGTCTCCATGAGAGATGTGTGTTTATTAAATGGATAAATTGAACTTTGTTCTATTAAGATGGTCTTTTGTTGCCAAATTAGTAGTGTCACATTTTGGTTATAGGAGCAGATTCCCTGATGGAAAAAGGGATACAGGTTGGATTCCTGTTGGGAGGCATAATTTTACTTTAGTAGAACATCTTGATTCTATGCTGATTGTTATTAATTTTTAAGAAAACAAACAAACAACTCAAACATGCGCCCACTAAAAATGATGTTTATAATAAGAAGAAATAAAGTCATATTAAGAAATCCATTTAAAAATATTAGAAATTGTAAATCTTTGTGCGTGTTTGCATTTTAAATCAGACTTTTGCAATGCTCTTCTATAATGACTAAAACATTCTTTTTTTTTATAGATATACAGAAGATGGTCATACGAGGGGCACTGTCACAGACCCCCCTCCCAATCCAATCAAACTTGAATGGGATATATCAGAAGCTGTAAGTAATCTACATAGATTTAATTGATTTGTTTGTGTGCATTTTCAAGTCTTTTATAACAAAAGGCTTCATTTGGAAGAGATATCTGAAGAATCAACTGCCTTTGAATACCATCCTATGTTGTATGCATTGCAGATCCTCTGTTCCCCTTAGTAGGCAGACTATAGCAGGGTTTTTTTTTTATTGTTTTCTTCAGTCTTATAGATCAACAGTTGAATCTTTACCAATTCAAGGGTTGATTTACAGATTGCATATTATACAGGTATAAAAGGAGGCACAGTGGAGTAATGGATAGAGGCTTGGATTGAGAAATCAGAGAGCCAAGTTCGAATTCCACTAGATCCATTACATTCACTTACATGCTAATACCCTTGGGAAAGGTATGAATCCTCTTCTTCTCCCCATAGCTATGGGTAAATAGCAGGACAGACCAGGTTCTATAGCATTGGATGGCAATTGGTCTTCTGCAGGAAGAAATGGCAATCTACTGCAGGGGAAAAATCTTCCTCATCAGTCATGTATCGAAAGACACATGATTGCTTAAGCATGTATCATGCATGGCACATAACTGACTGATATGGGATAATCAGTGCATGATTTGCAAAACATAGTTTCATTCATTTCAAATGTCTTTCAATGCTTATTCACATTAATATTTGATCAATAAAAGAATATAGGAATATTGACAAAATCAATATTTCATGTTTGTCAATCAATTGTTATTGATGACCTACAAATATGTATGAGAGGGAAAGAAAAATGTAATTATGAACAAAGATTTCCAAACTATGCCAATAATTATTTTGCTTATCTTTCTTTGTGCTCATGAATTGAGTCTTGCAAAAAGATGGCTGTAAATTAAATTGCCTGAAGTTTCCTTTCAAATTGATTCTTTTATATCTAAAGCGAAAGACAAAATGAAAGAACATACAATTAGATGTGCTTTTAATGGCATGCAAATTCAATAATTGCTTGGATTTTCTGCTTACCTTTGTTTCTTATTGTAAATGTCAAATGATAAATTTATTCTGGATTTGTTTCAGTGTCACGAGGTGATCAAAACCAGCTTAGGTGTAGCCAAGGCTCTCCTCAATGATGTGGATCTTTACATTCTTTCACATACTGCCTATGGCAAAGGCTTCATGAAAAGCTGTAAACTCAGCCCAGATGCCTATATCCAGATTGCTCTGCAGCTAGCCTATTTCAGAGTGAGTCACACAATTCTTTTTCTCTTTCTTTCTTTTTTTTTCAAATTCTTTCCACTCTCATTTTTTCTTCCCCCTATTCTCTCTCTCTCTTTTTCTTATCTTCCATGTTCTTTTTCTGCTCTCTCTCTACTACTCTAGCTACCTGTCTTTCTTTAATTCTTGAATACTGACTTTAAATTAAGAATTATTGCTTAAAAAAAATTCATTAAATGAAGAAATTGCAAAGTTCCTAAAGCAGGAATTTGTTTTTTGTTACACAATTTATTGCATTTTGTATATATTGAAAGCAATCAGTATTTACCAATTTTCTTAGCAGAGGTTTTCACTATTGACAACTTTCACCTTGGGCTTTCTGCATTTTTGCCACTAAATATCATTCTTGATACCAGCTTTAGAGATGACAAGTTGATACTTTGTTTGAAGTTCACTCAGTGTTTAGCTCCCTGAGACATTTCATATATCTTCTGCTTTTATGCTTTGTATATTTTGGGTTCTACATACTGCTCAGAATCTAGTGGCAGGATCACACCACCAACCTTGAAACTATGGACAACACTGCCTTTAAAAATATTTAATCTGTGCTTATCAAGGGCCCACTTTAGTGGGTGGGGCATGCTATCCACATTGAGGAGCATTGCATGCCAAGATGCCTGCTCTATGGAAAATTGGTATATAGAAAAAACACAGGCAGAACAGAAAAGACTACAAATATTTCATGTAAATCAACTTTTGGTAATGTAGAATGTACTGGAAGAATATACAAGGAATTCTTAATGCTGCAAATTTTGAGGAGGCTAGCATAAAAAAAAACCTTATCACTGCAGGAAAACACCACACCCACAGGCAGTGATTATAATTGACTTTCAGTGCTTGCACCCTCCCTAATTCTGTACTGCTAGAGTTAGATTGTGGAACTGAAGTGATATGTAAATGACTGCCTAAGGCACAGACTATATAAATGCCCAAGCAGTAAATGCAGAGCAGATCTTGGTATACAAGATAAACAACTACTGCTAGACTGATAATATACAAATGAAATTCCACTTCATAACAGGAACTATTTGAGAATTCATAGATGAATGCATAACAGATCTTTGGATCTTCAGGATAGCTATATAATGTTATAACTGAACCCCTCACATCTTTTGTCTATCCTGGTGCCACTGTTGCCAGAGAATCTCACTCTGCCAGTTATCTACCCACCCACATTATGTTTAAGTTTTTGTTTTGAAGAAGCTAGATGAAATTGGTTAAAATGCCTTTAAGAGTGAAAGAGGTAATTTACAAGAAAAGTATAGTAGGAAGCAACTTTCAGAACAGACAATCAACTCTTTCTTGTTTATTTGTCAAGGTTACGGTTACCAGTTTAACCCTTCCCAATTCTCTGATGCTGTGGTCCACATAACTACAGCCATTTTGTGAGTTAGTATGTGTTAGCATTATTCATAACATATTGCAAAAACAACTGGGCTGGTAAATGGGTTGAAAAATTCAATCAGGAAGTCTCAGTCTCAGAAACCTGTATTTCCAACTCTTCCACTCAATTACAAATGAAAACATCTTTGGCTGAGGCAAATTTCTTCAGTTGATGAAATTATTCTCAGACAATATTGTGCAGGGGTTGGTGAAGTCATTGTTGAAAAGGCTTGGTAATGTTAACTATTTGAATCTCTGTGTAGTACCTGTGCACAACTACTGTTTACTTGTGGTGAGACCCTATCTTTATGAGAAACACATTTTATTTAGGTGAGAGGTTGCATATGTGCATGGTAACAGGATCAGGAGAAATGGATTGGTGACCTCATCTTCCGCTCACATAACAACAAGGTCAACCAGATTTTTTATCACTTATATAATCAAGGCATAATTGAGGAGTAGTATTCAAAAATAAAAAATTCCTATACTGAATTTTGGCTAAGATTCCACTCAGCAGGTGGACCTGGTATATTTCAATTGTCATTTTTCTAGTGGAGAGCAAGAGTTTCATCACATTTGAAATCTTTAGTTAATTCATATTTTATGAATAAATACATATTTATTGGAATCTGATCATTACTTTGCTTACTGATGACAGCATCTGAACATTAATTTGCTTACTGTTTGGGACAAAAGTAAAATAACTCTCTCAGAAAAAAGGGTACAGTTTTCTGCCAGGAAGGGGAAGAGAAGGTAACATGGCGACAAAATAAATCTTATTGTTTCTACATGTGTCTCCATTTTATCTTTGTCAATCCTTGTTTTTCTTGCTCCAAGTTACACAATAAAGCAAGTCATTAGAACATGCGATACAACAGATTTGATGATGAGGATTATTTTTTTTATTTGACCTGTCTTGATGGGTGAAATTTAATCTCCCCAGAACTCGGCAAACAAACAATTCTGTCAATTTTCTGGCAAACTCTATTTGACCATTCAAGTCATCATCATCACCCCCTTGACTTTTGTAATCAGTGGGGAGTGGGGTCTGAATGCAGAAGCCATACTAAATCTCCTCCACAACGGTCTATCAACAGCAGCCATCAGCAATTCTGTTATAGCCATACCTGTCCATTGTTTGACATTGTTCAACCAGTTTTTTACGTTGGCGTCCTCTCCTACGTCCATATTCAGTGGTGCCTTGCATGATGAGTGCAATTATTCTAATAACATCATTTTTTCTTGATGGTTCCAACATTGGAGGGACACTTTTGAACATGTCTTTTTACACAAAGATGACACATGGAAATCAAGTCTTTTGCTCCGTAAAGTAGGAACTAAAGAATACAAGCGTTTCACAAATTTTATTCTGTCCAAATTGCCTTCAAATTTAATGTTCACGAAAACTGTTGAAATTTTCGGTACTCAGCAGTCTCTTTTTCACATCAGATACAACTGTTTAAAAATAATGAAAAACGAGTTGGATGGTTATGTAACTTTCACAGGCTACATTATTGACTGATGACAACATCAGAACATTAATTTGCTTACTGATGACGGCATATAAACATTACTTTGCTAACTAATGGCAAAATATCTATCTGTACAGGATGAAATTTTGGCAAACAAATAGCAGCCACTTGTATGAAATCTCCTGAATTTCAGTCTCAAATTTTCAAATACCTGGCTTTCTGTGTTTTTCTACTAAATGAAGAAGATAGTGGGCAGATATGCTGACCAGACAGGCTTTTATAGTCATTAGCAAAACTGATTTCATATGGTGCTAGAGAAAAATCACATATGTATTGTAGTAATTACCTTAAACTTAATGAAATTTGAAGTGTACAATGTCTAAAAGATAAAGATTGAAAATAATAAAAATAACATTATCTAACCTTGTGAAATTATTCAAGATATTTAGCTCTTGGTTTTTCTTTGCTAGCAATGAATTTGGATTTTTTTTTTTTTTTTTTTTTTCTTTCTAGGATGCTGGAAAGTTTTCTCTGACTTATGAATCTTGCATGACCCGTCTCTTCCGTGAAGGCAGAACAGAAACTGTGCGATCTTGTACTCTTGAATCTACAGAATTTGTTCAAGCTATGAATGATAAAAATAAAACAGTAATTATAAAATTCTACCAATGAATTTAACATATTTACTACCAGATATTTGACTCTCATAAATTTTGTTTTAAATGCTTCAAAAGAAAATTAAGCCATATTATCGCAAACTTTCTTAATATTCTTTGCTGTAATGCAACATGGTCTTATAAGTCATCAAATACATTTCTTCATAATATTTGTTTTGGTTACAGTTTTCATTAATTTATCATGACCATCACATTGCTAAATAAATAAATCCAAGCCAATTTTAATGACATTTCACTATTATTTCCTTCATTGATACTCAAACAAAATTGCATACCAAGATTGTCCAAAATTGCATACCAAACTCCTCTGTAATATTTATACCAAAATACAAATTTCAAAGTAAACAATTTCAACCCTTTTTTCATTAAAAGTAATTTTCACAACATATTTTAAATCGTTAAATGTGTTTAAAGTTTTAAATCTGTCCTACTAGTTTTTTGATATTTTGCTTCAGAAAAAAGAGTGCATCAAATTGATGACAAAAGCTGCTCAAGTTCACCAACAGTTGTACCGGGAAGCCATGACAGGATGTGGTATTGACAGACACTTGTTTTGTCTTTATATTTTATCCAAATACTTCCATCTGGATTCTCCCTTCCTTAATGAAGTACTTAATGAACCTTGGAGACTTTCTACAAGTCAGGTAATATCAGCAATGAATAATGTGTTTTTTTTTTTTTCATTAATGAATTAATACTGATGTATATCTGCATGTGAATAGCATAAGAAAAAGTCTTCTTTGTGGGAACACTGAAAAGAAACCTATAACATCTCAGTATTAAATACAATAATGAAAGATATCCTTGTCAGTAATAAGAAATATGTGATATTTTCCTGTCACTTTTTTTATCCCTGGATAACTCTATAAAATTTGTATTTTATTTCTATTTCATTACAGACTCCATATCAGCAAACAGATAAACTGGACCTAAATAAAAATCCTGAATATATTTCTGCTGGTGGTGGCTTTGGACCTGTGAGTGTCTTTGACTATATATCATCATCATCATTATTATTATTATCATTGTTATCACCCTTAGAACTTCTGCTTAAATATCATGATAATGATTCTTAACAAGCTATAATAAAATGACTGTTGGGGAGTTTGAACAAGTAGATAAATCTCAAAGCCTTAAGATAGATTTTTTTTTTTTTTTTTTTTTTGTCACTTCACTTCCATCTGATATCCACTGCAACTGTAACAATTGCTTTGGGTTGGTTGTACACTATTTACATTATTCAGACTATTGTCCTCATCTTTGTCGCCATATTTATTACAATGTTTCGGACGTTTTACCCTCCGGCCTTCTTCAGATGGTTGGAATGTCAAACTGAACCCCTTATTTCGCTCACTGGGGTAGACTACCCCAGTGAGCGAAATAAAGGGTACAGGCTGGAGCGTACAACGACTGAAAAGTTGTGATAAATATGGAGACAAAGATTAGGACAATAGTACAAATAATGTAAATAGTGTACATAATACTTCTCAGAAATATAGACAGATACTGGGTTGGTTGTAATTGCTTTTCCTGGAGAAATTTTGTTTGTCTCCCTGCTCTGATCAACTTGAATTTCCTTTTCAAATTTAGTCACTGCACACAGGTCTATTTTCAAATTTACTATATTTAATTTGTTTGTCTTAATTGGCTTAGGGAACTTAAAGATTGTCATTCATATTATCTCAGAATGTAGACAATGGAAATTCTCAAAATTAAAAGTTTGCAATTTTATTATAGAAATCAAATGTAAGAAGAGAAGACAAATTTTCTTATATTAGTAATAAGCTTGAATTGTGAGATAATGTCATTTCTTATTTTCATTAAGAATTATCTGCTATATATATATATATGGGCACATGGCTGAGTTGTTAGAACATTTACTTTCTGACCATGAGACCTGAGTTCAAATCACACCATGGTCAGTTTGTCAGGTAGGTGACTTCTTGATGTTATCAGTCTGGAGGAGGTGATCCCAGTGTGCGACACCTTTGAAAAATGCCTGAAAATCAACCATGGGTTGACCCAAGCCTTGTGAGTGAAATTGAGTAGACGGAAACGTTGGGAGCCACTGGAGGTTGTACTGGCACAAAGTCACAAGTCATTGTGACCGAAGGTTTGGGCATGTTAGCTTTGTTCAGGCTGTTGATTATGCTAGATAACACACTCTCTCCCAGAAACTGTAACTAAAGTCTGCTCAACATAGTTGCAGTGTAAACCACAGGTGGACCCTGTGGGTGTTGAACAAACACAAATGTGCCTGAGCAGGTATTTGCAATGGGGATTGAGTGGCTGCACCATTTACTTTCTCTCTCTCTCTCTCTCTCTCTATATATATATATATATATATATATATATATATATATATATTAAGAAATCGGAGATTTCAGAAAGCCATGGTAATATTTTATTTCATGAAATCGAGACTTTGATTTTGCTTCTTCAGACCAGATAATTTCAAGCAAAGAATGGATTCAAAAATCTTCCAGGAACCAATTGAAAAATGAAAATTAACAGAAGTTGTGTTTTAAAATAGTTCCAAAAAGTGGGAAAGAAAAGGGATGAGGAAAATAGGGGATATGTCTCTAGAAGATGAGATAGTTGTAATGACCTCTGATTCACTAGATAGGAGAAGGGAGTGGAGATGAGTTTTCAAAGGGGAACAAAGAGAAAAGAAAGGGAGAACTAGAGAGGAGAATCAGAATTTGGAATCTTAAGTGTTAAGTTTGGATATTTTTGTGGCCTTGTTAGGGGCCCAGAAATAAAGACACAAGAGTGGAATCAAGTTAAAAAAAATATTAACAGAAACAGTAATACAAAACATATACAAACGAGAGTGTTATAGCAAAAATGTTCGGTCTGACTGCTGGAAACTTCCTTCTCCAAAAGGCAGTACCTGCTCCTATTTATAGCTGGGAGAACCCATGCGTGCATGGGTAAATTACCATAACAGATATATTTGAAGATTTCTTTATAAGTCACCATATATATATATATATATATATATATATATATATATATATATAATTTTAAGAAATAGGTGATTAATAAAGTTAAAATAACAAACGAATTTTCAAAATAAAGTAATAATTTAAAGATGATCATTTAAAGTGAGCAAAAGCTAAAATAAGGATAAAAAACAAATGTTACCAAGATCTTTATACATACATATTCCCACCCAAATCTAAATATAGATACACACACACACATACATATAAAAATATGCACCAAAACACATTAGATACAAAAAGTATATCTAGGTATAAGGTATCTATACCTCTATGTGTATAACCAAACAAGCCGTTTACACACACTTACAGTTAAGAAAATATATATATATATGTGTGTGTGTGTGTGTGTGTGTGTGTATATATATATATATATATATATATATATATATATATATATATATACACACATAAATACATATACATACAAACATTCACATTTTACATATACACATACGTACCTACATCTATACACATATTCGTCTCTGTCTACACATGTTTACACATAAATGTGTTCACACACACATATATATACCCACACATATATAACGTACTCACATATATATTTATGCGTATCCATATACACATATATACATACTTGACGAGTGCATGCTTAAATAAGTATTTAGATAACATGTAAGATATGCTCACCACTAACCATATAATTGTAAAGAGGCACATAAGAATGCTTCCCATCAAGTGTATGTAGACATACACATAACGTGTAATATATACATCTACCCATGAAAAAAATACAACATACAGCACATGAATGCACACCTATACCCATATACAGGTGGGTGCACACATCTTTGCATATACAAAATTACATACCTTAACACAAATATAAAGCAAAGCAGTACAATAGTATGCTTATGCATGCATGTACATAAAGGAGAGAGATGTGTAAGTAATAGATGCCCAGGTAAGAGATTTTTTTGTAAATTGAATTGAGGTTATATGTGATTGGGGAGGGGGCATCTCGAGGCAGTGTAATGGTTAGCAAGCTTGTCTCGCTAATACAATTACAACTGAGTAGTGAGTTTGATCCTCACTGGGTACCCTTTACATTCGGCCTTGTGCCACATCTAAGCTACACTTGGAAAATCACTATATGTGATGGAGAGAGGGAAATTACATGGAGGATCATAGATGAAAACTTTGACTATATGAATTACCACCTTTTATGTATACAAAAGAATAAAACAAAATGTATCTATATACATGTATATATGTACACATGCATACACACATATACATATATATACACATATACATATGCATAAATACATGTAAAACATTCAAAATTCCAAATTTGAGTTATTTTTCCTTCATTATATATATATATATATATATATATATATAATAATCAGGAGAGGCAAAATTTTCCTTCAGGTTGTCTGGAATAATGTTTCCATGTTAGCAGCCTGTGTTGTCCATTGGCAGTAATCAATTCAACAAAAAAAAAAAAGTTCATATATTGCTTCTGTGGCACCACCCTCTGTTCCATTAGTTACTGGCCAATTTAAAGCTGAATAAGTATATCTCTGGAAAAAACAATAGTCTTCCATCCTTATCACATGGCCAGCCCAATACAGCATAGTTTCAATGCTTATGTCAATAGCTGTCTTGAAAACTTTAGTGTTCATATATGTATATGTATATAAACTTATATATCAAAATAAATACAGATTTTGATAAATAATCTTTTTAGTTCTAAATTTTATAAACCTGAAATTACAAAATTTTCTCTAAGTAATGACAACATATTGTACCTCTTAGAATTGATTCTCTAACAAAAAAAAAATTTATTTTAGTTGAAATGTTATTTTGCTTTCATTACAGGTTGCTGATGATGGCTATGGTGTCTCCTATATTATTGCAGGCGAAGAAGTGGTTTTCTTCCATATTTCTTCAAAAAAATCATGTCCACTCACTGTAAGTTTTAATTTACAACTAATTAAAGCATTATTTAGGCATACATGCACACTTGTATATATGTTAGCAATGTTACTGCCTATTGCCAGGATAAGAATATCCTTAAAGTCATAAATCTTAACATGTGAATAAATATCTTTGTCTGATAGACAAGAATATCTGGCTAATACTCTCTGCCTACTGGAATGATGAAATGGCCTGAATTTCAAAGTTTCAAATTAATAGCTATGTTGTGAATGTGAAGATTTAAAACAGAGTGCAGTGATTTTTTTTACAAATAAAGAGAAAAGTTTAATAACTTCAGAATTTGCAATCTTGGAAATTGCAAAAAGGATCAGCAGATACCTTTGGACTGTGAAGAAATTTTTTATGATCCTGAATAACTGCACTGCAGGTCTGTTAAGGGCAGGTTTATGGCTTTATTTCACTGATTTGTATCTAATATTAAGAGAAGTTTATAAAATTCAATCTTTTTTCAAGTTGGGAAATTTTTAGGCATTGTCGTCATGAGAAAGTGTTGAAGAATACAAGATATCAGTTCCTAAATCAAAAAAGCGCAAAAATGTGGAACCAATCATTATAGATCAATAAGAAAAATTTACTGAAATGGACAAAAGGAGTATACATGAAGACTGATTTTTTCAACCATTCTTTTCTCTGACCAATACTGTGCTACCCTCAATTAACTAGACATGTGAAATAAATGGTGGGTGGCTACTAGTGAAAAATCATCTTCACAGGTTGAGATATTGAAAAGGTGGTGATGTTTTGTTATGGGATTATAGATGTTGAATCTATAGTGAGTTCCAGATGGTGTTAAGATGACAGTTCAAATTTTTTTTTGAAGGCATTTTATATGAAGACATGCAACACCTCATAAATTCAATTAATTAATCACTTCTAAAATCAATTTCTGAACATGGAGCATACATTTCACATTATTAAGGTCGTTATAACTTTGTTGTCACTACAGTAGCATATTTTAATTTTTTTTTTTAAAAAAAGTTATCTTTATAAATATTGAACATATTCTGTAATTATAATTTTGAATTACAACATAATTCTTTTGGGAGGGGGTTTCAATAATCACAGCTAATGGTGTGAAACTTGGAAAATCCAGTAAATTTCATAAAAATATTGCCACATTGAACTGTAGACTTCTATAATTTATATATAAATGAAATTTAAAATGTAGTCTACTATAATTTATACAGGGTGTGATGGACAAATTGTCGTCTAAATTACGCAAAAATGAATATAACACTGACATCTCATTTTAACAGAATTACACAAAAATATCTTGAAATACTAAAGAGTAAATTTATTCAATAAAATTGCTATTGGCTTCAATGATGGCCTCCAGACAACTTTTGAATCTCCTGCAACTCTTCTGGATGGTCCTGTTGCCAGCAGCCACTCTCTTGACCCAGGGCAGCACTATCTTCTCAAGGCATTTGATGTTGACTTCCATGTTGATCCTGTGAGAAGATTAATGGAGGCATAACATCACCATCACTAGTGATCATTCCAAACATCATGATATTGACTGGATATATCATTCAACTCTTTCCAAATCCTCTGCACTGTCCTCAGATTGACATCCAAACACTCTGAAATGTTCATATTGGAGCTTCTGGCACAAATGCTAATCAGTACAGCATGCCATTTCCAAATTTTTGGCAGAGTGAATTATGTCATGGTGCTCTTTTTCTCACAGATGGTGCCCAATTGACCCTACTATACAGTGCAGTCGACAAAATAAAAAACAAACAACATGCATATGCAAAATTAAAAATATAAAATGGCAACAATATAACCATTGCATACTGTATATATTAGGTGAAATATTCTATATATTAATAGTGCTAATACTTTCATAAATCCCATCAATATGTTTTTTTAAAAAATAAAAAAAACGAAATCAACGACTAATATTGTGAGACACTGTGTGCATGTATATATGTGTGTATATATGGTTATACAGACATGAAACAAAGATATCCACCATCAAAGATGATATTTTGTTATTTTGACATAGAAAATTTCTATGCGATGCCTCATGTGATCCATTGCATAGCAATATGAGGATGGCTCATGTGAGCCAAAAGCTTAGGACCAACTTAATAAAAAAATATCCAAATGTTGGACAATTTTTGTCTTTATTTTCACCAGAAATTAAAACATTTGAACTATAGAATGGCTCATGATCAGACATAATAAACATTCATTGTCTGTTATATTTAATAATATATGTTTAAATAATGATCTGCTGACCCAATACACTATATATACACACACACACACACATACATATATATATATATATATATATATATATATATATATATATATATATATGAGACAGAATGAAATACTAATACTTTAAACTCATTTTTCAATTCTTTTTTGTTTCTTTTCAGAATTCAGAACGATTTAGCAAAAATATTGCCCAGTCACTAAAAGACATCAAAGATTTGTTCAGTGAAGATTGACAATAACTCTGTTATAGTAGTCAGATTTTTATGTTTTTTGTTTTTTTTTTTCTTCTTTTTTATTGTTCTTGTTAACTGCCAGAAACAACTGTTTGTCCTACTTATATCAAGTGCAATGTGTGGAAAAAGAGTGATGTCCAACAATTGCTATTGAACAATTAACAAGCAATAACCTCCCTAAAAATCTATTGGGCATTAAGAGAGAGAGAAAAAAAAAAGACTTTTCTATTCTCTTGTGAAATTAATAATGTTAGCAAAGATATGAATGCTTCTGTATTTATAATGTTTGTAGGCTTACTTGCTACAACTGTTGTATGACATCTTTGTGTTTTTGATATTGAAAGTTTACTGTTGTCTTGATATAAGTTGACACTTGGCAGAGCTTCTCATCTTTGCTTATAGGATTGCCAAACACTCACACTCAGCAAAGATTTTACATCCTTTGAGGATTATCTCTGGTTTTTATATAAATATTCACTGAACATGAATTATGATTTTAATGCTTCAAGACAATATAGATTTGGTTTACCTGATGTCTTAGGAAATCTATTTGAACACTTGTTATACTAATAAGTGTATTTCTCTCAGGAATACCAAGGCAAAGGGGAAGGGACTAAAGATAGTGTTGTTGGTTGCAGCAGCATTTTAATTGTAATTTTCTTGTTAAAAACATGGAAATTCTACTTTTGCCCTGCAACTCATTTGCAGGAAAGACGTGACATGCACTTGAATTTTTTCTTTTTTTTTTTTTTTGTTAAAGGAAATAAAACAAAACCAACCAGGACAAAAACACTATTTAAGAAACATATTTTCAGTTTTCATTTCTTTGTCATTTAGTTTTGCTAAGAAAGAAAAATATAATTTCAAAAATAGAAAAGAGAGGAAACTACACATTTTTTTTTTTTAATTCTGTTCTTTTCAGCCATTTTCCTGTCAATAATTCCCAAGATTTGTGGTGCTTCTGCTGCTGATTAATACAGAATCAAAAACATATTTGTTTCTCTTAGAGCACCAGCTAAACCATAATTTGGCTTTAAGGATAGAGATATTAAGTTATTTCCCCTGTCACCCCGCAACACTCACTATAATAACCTATTTCATTTATAACTGATCGCAGGCAAGCTTGGGTCACTCAAAAATCAGTTGCATTCCAAAATTTGAAACTTCTGCAAGACTGGAAAATGTACAAATTTCTATAAAATAGTTACTGATTTTTTTCAAAGATTTTCTTCATTTTTGCTTTTTTTATGACCCCCCCAGGATTTTTTTTATCATGCATCATCTTGTTAGTATTCTTTATTTAAAATTTATAACATATTCAGACTCTTTATAAGATCATAAAGCAAATATTGAGAAATCATATTGATAAAGTTAATGAACAGAAACACCTCAATTTATTTTTATGCCAATTTAAAGTACATTTTCCAGCAACCAAATTCCAACTAGAATCCATGGTTCCAACTATCTCTACCAGAGGAGATAACAGTGATTTTAGTGTTCAAAAAAATATTTTTTTTACATTTTCTGCTCTTATTAAAAATTTCCTGTCTTAATTTTTTTAATTTGTTTTTGTGACCTCAAAACTCAAAATGTTAAATAAAAAAATTCAACACATAAAATTTTATTCCAAAGCAATAACTTCTATAGGTTTTAATTAGTTGATACTATTTACTTTTCAATCTATTCAGCTGAGCTTTAAAATTATAACTTTTTAAATCATCTATATCTTGTAACTTCAGCTTATCTAACATTAAATATACTGTGTTTTCACAAATTTGTTTAGGTTATTTTATTTATTCTAGTATTGGACAAAAAAATCTCTTTTTCTGGTGACTTGTGAAATTAGTGAACAATAATATCTCTCCCTGTCCCCTCCCCATTTGAAATATATTTTTCATTATTGTTTCCCAGTCTCTTTCTCATAACTGAACAAATTACTCAAAGACAGTTGTCTTTTCCTGAATAAATATTTCAACATCTTTTTTTTAATTAATATATCTGTGTGAAAAATAGTACAACAAAAAACCTTGTTAAAAATGTATATTTTCAAATCTGTAAACATAGAGAAATAAATGGAATATTTAGATGAATTATTGAAAGATTACTATTTTGAATAAATCTGAGGCCAGTTAGCATTGACATAACTGACCATCCTAAAACAGCCATAAATTATTATAAATTAGTTCAAAAGAAAAAAGAAAGAATAATGTATTTTGATGACTTGCATTTTATTTCTGGAAGAGACATTTCATGTAGTAATACTTTACTATAAAAGCCATTATGTTAGATGGAATTATTTTAAATTTCTTTATATATTCCACAACTGTCTTTGTTCTTACTTTCAGTCACTTATTTTGCTACTTACTATTAGTAGTAATATCATTACATAAGTGGTTCACCATATTTCCATTATCACAGTGCATAGATTCTTTATTTAACTAAGCTTTAGTTTGTTATTGTAGAAATTCTTTATAAATCAAATGCGTAATTTGCAGTTTAAGCCCCATGCTCAGTTTCTGCACATTAATCAAGGCAAGCTTCAGCACATGACTACTTGAGCCAAACGTATGTAAAAAATGCAAGTATTGGCTGTTGTGTTGTAGCTGCGATGCAAATGAGTCCAAACTTTTGTCGATAACTCCAAAATGGTAGATTTTAGCAAAATTTCTTTGTTATTTTCAAATTAAGCATGTAAATTTAGACCTGGATGTAACTATTCAGGAAATTTTTATTAGAAAATGAGTGCAGGGCTTAAACTGCAAATTATCCAATCAAATTATGTTTTATATATTTGTAGGATAGTAGTAAATTATACTTCTATTTTTACATCTACTTTAGTTTATAAGCAATAATCAAAATTTGTATTTTTTAATAATATATTAATAACTAGTACTTACTTTCTTTATGAGTGATAAATATAATTTTTACTTGATTTCATATAATGAATACACTTTTTAAAATATTTCTTCTATAGTCATTTGTTAAACAAAAGTAATTGTCAGAAATTAATCCTACAATTGTTTCATTTTTCCACTTACAAATATTTTGATAATTCTGATTTCAGTTTATATACTTTTATGCATTTATTTAAGTAAAATCGGAATATTAAGGGAAGATATCTAAGATTTCTAGTGAGAAATTTTTTCCACATTAAATTAGTGTGAAAAACACAGAATTTTTAGTACAAGCAAAAAAATTAGCTTAGAAAACTCAATTTTGAATTAAAATGTTTGTGTTTTTGGATAATATGGTATTTTTTAATAAAATGAAAACAGCCCACTTCATGTAACAATAGATTTTGTATATTGTATATATATTTATTGAATTTATCTTCATTTCTAATTGTTTATTTTACAAATTTACTTCTTTTTTTTGAAATTGTTTTTACCATAATATTAAACCAATTTGAAAAAATAGCCGGTGTTAGAGCTTGAACCTAGAAACTGATCATCTACTTTTATCGTTTTATGCCTATTTGTAAGTTCATATTTGTACTGCTATTATTTGTTTCCACATTCCCTGTACACTGAGAAAAAAAGATGTCAAATGCGTGTTTTGTGGTGATGTCATTGTTATAATAATGAAGTAGATAGTGTAATAGTTAAATTGGACATTGAACAATTTATCCTAACCAGCTTCTACGATAAGTGTTGGTTAATGAGAAGAATATTTTTAATTGCACCTTAAATTATAAAAGACTAAGTCAGAAAAGCTACCATAATTGAATTTTTGTACAGTATAAACTTGCCATTTCCTTTAAATGTAATAAACCATTTAATGGTTATGTCTTTCTTCTTCTTTTTCCCTTTGTGAAATATTTAAATAGCTCTTTTGATTTCTCGGATGTCAAGAGAAACCATTTGTCAATAATATATGATAGGACCAAAAAAACTAGACCGTGTTGAGCCCAACAGAAATCTTGTTTGTCCAGAGGCCATCATGGAACTGTAGCAATTTGAAAAGAAAACGGTGACTAAAACACCAAGGAAAAACAGTCTACTAGTTCCACACATTTAATAAATACTTATTTCAAGCATAACCAGTGCCTCTTTGTTGATATTTTGCAACGAAAGTTTACAACATGCATATCCTGACTATGAAGTTCTTTAAAATATCCCCATATCACAATTAATTATATTATATGCAGCCATAAAAATATTTGCAGCTGTTGAGTAAATTTTCTCCCCAAGATATTTTTTGTTACTTTCTGTGGGTAATTAATAAATAAAAAAAAAAAATGAAAAAAAAATCTGCTGATATTTCATCCACAAATGAACTCTAAGGTCAAAGTAGAGAAATTTAGTTGTGAATGAAATGACTCAGGCCTCACATGATTTGTCTCAACCCCCTACACATCCTGATTTAGAGAATCCACCATTTGAGAAATTTTTATCAGCCACAAAAATCATTTTGATATTTAAATTTATTGTTCTTTTTTTCATATCCACTTGTTAAACATCTGAAATTGGACATTATTATGTTGTTGTTAACTTCATAAATTTTTGTTTAGTATCCTCTCTTACTGCTGTGGTCTGATCTTGAAATACTGTAGTGTTTTTTTTTTTAGAAATGTGAAATCTGATATTCTTTAAATGTTATCATATTGCAAAATTGTTTTTTTTTTTCTTCTTTCTTTTCCTCTCAGAAAGATGAATGTTTTGATAATAAACTCAACTGAATGTTAATGTCATAGGCAGGATGAAGGTTAAAAGCTAAAATTAATATTGTTTGGACATTAAAGAAATAATATGGAGCATTTTCTGACTTCATGGGTGTTTTATAATTTTATCAGAAAACAAAAATCTTACCATTTTATACAAGAGCAGCATTTGACATGAACCAACTTAAAAATTCTCAAGACAGTTTTTTCCCTCTAATCAGAACTCTATTTGCTAAAGAAAATATGTTTTGTTGAATTTTTAGTCTCTGAAATTAATTTTGCATTGCACAATAAATTTGGAAATGAATAAAAAATAATTTTCTATTTCAATTTAAAAATT